AATCGTGAGATTGGTGACCTGGCTAGTGGCAGTTGAAACATTGTCCCTTGTGAAAATCTTCCATGTGCTCCTTCACCACTTCGCCGTGAATCATGGGCCGTGGATCCTGGCCGCGAAAACGATTTCCCTCCCGGGAACCCCCTCCTGCATACAACCGATGCGCGTCGAAATTGTCTGCGATCCGGACTTCTTTGTGAAACGTCGCTGGTAGTCGCAAATGAACCTCGCATTTAATGTCCTGCTTCAGGCCCAAAATGAATCGAGCCTTCTTCTAGGAGTCATGCATGTCGCTGATTTGATCGCATAACGCCATGAAGACCGACGCGTAATCTTGGACAGAGCTCCACTGGCGCCAATTGTCTAGCTTCGTGCGTGCGTTGTCCGAGGTGGATATTGGCTCGAATCGTTCACGCAGAGCTGTACCCCACGCCTTCCACGTGGGAATCTTGGTCAATCCGAAATCGCGGTTGACCGTTGGGCAGCAGACCAAAGTTTCCAAAAAACCCCTATGTGTCGCCTGTCGAAAACTCCCCCTTCTGCAGTGTATATCGCCACCAATCTAGCGCAGGTCCCCACAGTAGTGATACAACCAGCCGAATTTTTAAATCGTCAGCAGTGATCCCAGCGGCATTAAAATAAAGTTCCGCCGAAAATAACCAGCCCGTAATAGTAGTATTCTTATCTGTGGGGTTGAACGGGGGCGGCATTGTCGGTTTGATTGTCGCTATCGGCACGACTGCCGTTGCGGCTACAGTAGCGGCTACGTCTGACCGGGCGGCTGCTGCTGCTGCTGCTTCGGCTACTGCTCGTGCTGCCACGTCAGCTGCTGCGGCGGTTTCATTGTCCTTACACTCCTGAGACACCTCACGTGCGATTTCGTCCAAAACGGTTTCGACACGTCCGGTGCTGGCGACCTCCTCTTGGACGGCAGCTTTCTGGCACGAATCCTCTCACGCCTGGCGTAACTCGGCAACTTCCGCACGAAGTCGCTCGTTGTCCTCCAGCACTGTAGCCATGCGTGTGTTCATTGCGTTGAGCTGTTCCTGAAGCTCGTTGAACTGAGCTTGGTCCATCTGGCGAATGCTCTGCCGGGGCAGGGGGAAATCCGTAGTGTGCCTGTACTCAGGTAAGCGCAAACGCTATTGTATTTGGGTGAATTAATCAGTCTAATTCGCGGGAAACGGCTTTGCAGCTTACGTGAGGGACTTACCCCACCCCCCCCCCCCCCCCCCAAAAAAAAATCAACTCACGAAAACGGGTGAGCAAGGAAAGTGGCTTTGAATACCAGGTATTATGAATGAACAAGCAGAGTAGTGCGGAAATGAATAACGAAAGGTTGAATCAATGAATGACGATACAAGGAATGGCAAGCCAAGATATAGGAACACCAGAGCTAGTCTAACCATGAGATGTGAAGGTTCGGAAAAGAGATCGAAGGGTCTCGAAATGACGAAGCGAGGCCCGGGGAACTCCCGAAGGTCGAACTACAAGGTCTGGAGAAGCTGAGGCGGTTCTGTCAGAAAGGTCCGGAAATGTCCTGAGGCTTCGGGTGTGTTCGAGCGTACGCAATAGCAGTACCGCTCGGTAAGGAATGGAAAATTCCTTACATGAAGCGAATTTTGTTCGTAGATTCGAAACTAGCTCCTCTTATCTATATAACTTCCATTCGTGATGAGTCTCTTTAGTGCCAGGATGAGAAGCAGACTGCATATGCCGTATGACTAAGAGCGTATTCCTAGTGTTAAACAAGCTAGGTAGCTAGGGAAGCCTTGAAATGGCGTGAGGTTTAGGAAGGAGAAAAAATGTCGAGAGAAAAGGGGAATGAGATTAGAAGAGAGAGGGATACAAGGAGGGAGTTGTACCCTCTACAGTAGGTTCTAATAACACCTACCAAGCCTACAATTATATATATATATATAATTTATAATTGAACACCTAGGGCCTGTTTTCAGGCGAACCGCTTTTTAGCCTCAGGTTCCACCGTTCCGAACTGCGTTCAACCAACTCATATAGAAAACGCACTGTACAACACCGTGCACATTTGATAAGAGGAGTGTCTGATAAGGGGTGTTGAAAGGCAAGTGACTTTGCCTGCCTTCCCTCAACTTTCTTTCCCCTTCCCTTCCCCTTACCTTCGCGTTACCTTTGCCCCACCTGGCCCTGCCTTGCCTTTCCCTGCCTTGCATGGCCTGGAGGTGGCTGAAGGTGGCCGGGGTGTCAACTTATATTCATATATTGGCTAGATAGCTGCGTGCTCATAGAAAGTGAAACACACTAGCACAAAACCACCCTGTATGGTCGTTTCTAGTCATAGCGTTATTCTGAGATGCTATCAGAGACAGGAGACTCGGGTTCAATTCCTGGTGCCAAATCTGCAGAGGCGCTTGTGTCCTCAGCCTATCCCAGCGAGGGGGGGTGTCGAGAAACCCGCTGGGGTTGCCCTTGAGATCCTCGGGGAAGGGCCAGAGGCCTCTATGCCTGGGGGGTTATGGGCGCACTTACCTGCTACTTAACAAGCCCTTTTAACTCAGTGGTTAGTGACTGAGTTTTGACACGGGGTTGACTCAGGATGGATGGAGCTGGTTGGAGGAGGCTAGAGACAGCCGTGGATTGCTGGAGGTGGCTAAAGGTGGTTGAGAGTGGATGAGGGTGGCTGGGTTCTTTTGGGGTTTGCTAGGGATGGCTAAAGATGGCTGGGGGAAGCAAGAAGCAGCGGGAGGAGACATCATGCCTCATACAGCCCTAACCAAGAGAATATACAACAAGCACACGACTTCAGATTGGGTTTTGGAGGGCCGATATCTCAGGGTCCCCCCCGCGACAGCCCACCATTTTCGGGGTCGATGTCTGGGCGTGTCATGTTCAGTCAGGCCTATGTTCTTTCAAGGCTGATAAATCAGGCCCACTTAGTGGGAGTTGTTGAATTGTAGTTACAATTTTGTGCTCATAACAGCTGTTCCAGCGCACCTTCAGTGCTGTGCGTGATTTTGTCGAAGGACCAATCACCAACCCTCTATCACATGCTCCATGTAGTCGTGTGATTTTGGTCAAGGGCCAACCACACCCGTCTCACATGCTCCAGAAGGCCATCAACAAACCCAATTTCAACCGTAATTGACAGGGGTGTGTCAACATATATATTTATATACAGTATATGTATGTGTATGTAGGCTAGATAGGTGCTCTACTGGTATTGGTTCTTACTGTACATGGGACAATACTTCTTCTTGTACCCCTCTCTTTTCTCCAGTCATTCTGTTTTCTCTCGCTATCTTGCCTACCTAGCTAAACCCTATTTGAACATGATATAAGAGCAAGTCAATCCTGCTAAATTATATATTTTGCTATATACAGTAATTGGTAGGCTTGGTAGGTGTTACTGAAACCTACTGTAGAGGGTACAACCCCCCTCCTTGTATGCCTCTCTCTTCTATTCTCGACCCCTTTTCTCTCCTCAACTTTCCTAGCCTAAAACCTCTCGCCATTTCTATGGCTTCCCTCATACCTAGATCCTAGCTTACTTTAACAAATCCTGCCGGGCCTTCTCCCTATGCTTCCGCATCGCGCTCTGATATCTTCCCCCACTGTCGCGCCGCCGTGGCGGCCTCGACGCGCCAGCGCACGAACGGTAGCGACCAGCGTGCTGGTTTAGCGCCAGCCAGCACGCCCACACGCCATTCAGCGTGCCAGCTAGGGCGGCTCGCTAACTGGCTCTGCTGCCGAAGACCAGCTCCCTCCCCTGCGTCTCCCCACTCCTCCCTGCCGCAGCTGATGGCTCTCGTGCCAGTCCTTTCCCGTCGTCGCAGAGCCGTGCCACGCTGCCGGATGCCGCGGGCTCCGCGGCCGGGTGCCGCTGGCTCCGCCGCCGCCGCCGCAGGTGCCGCTGGCTCTGCCGCCGCTGTCGTCGCTGCAGCCGGCGCCGCCGCAGCTGCTGCACCCGCAGTTGACGTCGCCGCCTCACACGCGGAGGGTTGAACCAGCTGTAGCATGCCACCGCTGCTGCTGGGTATGGGGGTGTTAGGGCTTGGGGGTGTTGGGCTTCGAGGTGCTGGGTGTGTGGTGTGCTCAGACTTTGTCTTACTACTCAAACCAGTGGACAGACTAGTAGTGCTGCCCTGGTCTCTTGCTTCTGTGAGTAGTGCCTACCAAGCCTAGGGGGTGTGTCAACATATATATTTGTATATATGTACGTGTAGGCTAGGTAGGTGCTCTACTGTTACTAGTTCTTACTGTAGAGGGGACAACACTTCTTCCTGTACCCCTATCTCTTTTCTCTCGCTACTATCTTGCCTACCTAACTAAACCCTATTCTAACAGGGTGGTGTTGGGGGGGGGGGGGGGGGGGGGGGGAGGAGGAAAGGGATCGACATGACTCTGTTTCAGGCTGGAAATCCGATAAGGCAGACTCATCAGGGTGACCAAAATTTCAGGCACTATTCTTCGGGCCTTCCAAAATGAGAACCCATAAATTTAAGGCCAAGGAAAAATCAAAGGCTGGAAAATCAAGACCAATATAGAAAAACTACCTGATATACAGGTTTTCATACCTTTTTGGCTTGCCACCTGGAGGAGGGCCTAAACAAGCATCCCAATCGGGCCAAAGCAAACACTTGGCAGCTCAATGCCTCAATACATGTACTCATACACCAAAACAAGAAAGTGCCAAACTTAAAACACCCTTACAATCAAGGAAACAACCGAATCCATTAGCGAAGGAAACCAAGACAGCCCAGCACCAAAACGAAGTAAATATTATACCCTCTCCCCCCCCCCCCCCCCTTCGCTCGCTTCCTTTACATAATAGGAAGACAATACACAGAAGTTGCATATTGGGTATTGTGATTTCTTTGTTCATGCCTGGTCTATGGTGTATGCATAGGTACTGTTACTAGAGTACAGCTGAGGAGGGTCTATTGTTCTTTTTGGTGCCTTCCTCCTGAAGCTCGTCCCTGGATGCCGCCGAGACTGTCAGGTAGGAGCGGAGCAGACTCCCTCGAAGTTAGTCACAAGGGCATGATTTCACATGGGATGATCCAGTCAACCAAATGCTTCGAGCTCGGTAGTCCCAGGGGTGCACCTTCGAGATTACTTGTCGCGTTTCACCTCTGTTGTCGATGTCCCTGCTAGACTCATTGCCTCGTCTAGATCGCGGATTTGAGACTCACCCTTGCGCGGACGGATAGTGCGAAGAGCCAGCTTCAGGAAACTCGTCTCGGCCTCGAGCCTGACACTATTCGAATTGCAGACGTAATTCCACAGATCAAGAATCGAATCTCCGCTGAATCTGAGCCTAGTTTTGAGGCTCCTCAAACTAGACTCCTATCACGCTGACCTACTGCAGGTGGCCGGCCGGAAGGCCGTCGGAGTCCGCAGCGATGTGTACCGTCGATAAGATGCTGATCAAGGGCATCCGGAGCTTCAGCCCGGAGAACACATCAGTGATCACGTTCTTCAAGCCGCTCACGCTCATCGTCGGGCCCAATGGAGCCGGGAAAACGGTGAGTAAGCGGTTGAAACCGGTGGGTAAGCAGTTGAGATTCTAGCATCATCTAACGGTAATTAGGCGGTTGCTCTCCACGATCATCCAACAGTTCTTGCAGGGTGTTTTTGATTGCTCTCCGCAATCCAAAAGCACCCGTCAGCATCGTCGTCCATCCTCTGATTGCTGTTCTCGCCGAGTATCGCGGCGCGCTGCCCCGATCGTAGTTCCGCATTCCGTCCTTCGGATTCGGGCTTTCAGTGACCCGATTCCAGTCATCAGATTCCTTCCGTTCTGCCTGCGATTCTCTCCCTGCAGACCATCATCGAGTGCCTCAAGTGCGCAACCACGGGCGAGCTGCCTCCCAACGCTCGCTCCGGCCACTCTTTCATCCACGACCCCAAGGTCGGTCACGCTTCACACGAATCCTTGTTCCCGCGCGTCGAGAATGTTTCTCAGATGGCAGCCAACGGTTGTTCAGCTCGGTTTTCCTGCACGTGGGATGTTTCTCCTTAAGTGACAGCTAACGGTCGGTCAGTCACCTGTCAGTCAGTGTACAATCAGTTCAGACATCCGTCAGTCATGATACATTCAGACATCCGTCAGTCATGATACATTCAGACATCCGTCAGTCATGGTGCATCCAGAAATCTGTCAGACATGGTACATTCAGCCATCCTTCCGTCAGTCATGATACATTCAGACATCCGTCAGTCATGATACATTCAGACATCCGTCAGTCATGATACATCCAGACATCCGTCAGTCATGATACATTCAGACATCCGTCAGTCATGATACATTCAGACATCCGTCAGTCATGATACATTCAGACATCCGTCAGTCATGATACATTCAGACATCCGTCAGTCATGATACATTCAGACATCCGTCAGTCATGGTGCATCCAGAAATCTGTCAGACATGGTACATTCAGCCATCCTTCCGTCAGTCATGATGCATTCAGAGGTCTGTCAGTCATGCTACAGGACAGCCCACGTCCTACAAAAACGTTGTGGCTTTGCATGCTGCATGTTAACAGGTTCCCCTGCTGCAAGGTGGCTCACTTGACGGATACCAAGGGGCAGATCAAGCTGCAGCTCCGCACGGCAGCAGGCAAGGACGTGGCGAGCTGAGCACACTCAACTTTAACCCCCACTATCTGTCTTTCTGTACCCCCCCCTTGCTGCTGCTGCTGTTGCTGCTGCTGCTGCCGCTGCTGCTGCTGCTGCTGCCGCTGCTGCTGCTGCTGCTGCCTCTGCTGCTGCTGCTGCTGGTGCTGGCAGGTGGCGCACATGACGGAGACCAAGGGGCAGATCAAGCTGCGGTTCCGCACGGCAGCAGGCAAGGACGTGGTGAGCACACGCAACTTCACGCTCACGCAGAAGGCGAGCAAGATGGAGTTCAAGGCCATCGAGAGCGTGCTGCAGACCATCAACAGCATCACTGGGGAGGTGCGTCGTAGAAGAAGGCTGTCATGGGCTCTCAGCCGCCTTCAACTGGGGGAGCTGTGTGCCGGGGAGGCTGGTTGTCATGTCGACAGAGCAGGCGGAGTTCAAGGCGATGGAGAGCGTGCTGCAGACTATCAACAGCATCACTGGCGAGGTGCGTCACGGGCCTTGAGCCGCTTTCAACTGGGGGAGGTGTGTGCTGGGGAGGCTGAATGTCATGTTGACAGAGCAAGTTGGAGTTTAAGGCGATTGAGAGCGTGCTGCAGACCATCAGCAGCATCACTGGCAAGGCGCGTCATGGGCTCTGAGGCGCTCTTACATGGGGGAGTGGCAGGGGAGTAGGGTGGCAGTTCAAGGCGGATGAGAGCGTGCTGGTGGACCCTTGCCCCAGCGTGTGTCGCGCATGTTGGTAGTTCACCCTACCCTCCCTTCCCCTCTGACCCCCAGCACGTGTCTTTGACCTACCGGTGTGCAGACATGGACCGCGAGATCCCGCTGCTGATGGGCCATTGAGCCGACTCGGAAGCCCTGCTCACCATCCTCCATACTCCCACAATCTGCCCCCCCCACCCCCTCTCCCTCCCCCTGCTGCTGCCAGCGCGTGTCGCTGAGCTACTGGTGTGCGGACATGGATCGCGAGATCCCGCTGCTGATGGTCTTATGGGACCGACCAACTTCTTCCCTCCTTTCCCTCTTGTCCTCTGATCCCCAGCGCGTGTCCCTGAGCTACCGGTGTGCGGACATGGACCGCGAGATCCCGCTGCTGATGGGCTTATGGACCAACTTCCCCCGTCTATTCCCTCTCCCCCCCCCCTTTCCCCCCCCAGCGCGTGTCCCTGAGCTATCGCTGTGCGGACATGGACCGCGAGATCCCGCTGCTGATGGGCGTGCCCAAGGCGGTGCTGGAGAACGTCATCTTCGTCCACCAGGACGACGCCAACTGGCCGCTCGCCGAGGGCGCCGTGCTCAAGAAGAAGTTCGACGACATTTTTTCGGCCACCAAGTAGGTTTCTGATGAAAAGGAGAACCCTGGGAGCGAATTGGATAGGGACTATCTGGCAGCACATGCTGCTGTTTACAGCCCTGCCTGCAACTGGCAACTGCTGCCATGCAATGCTTGGGGGTTTGCTTTGGTGTATGGGAATGCGCCCAAGGCGGTGCTGGAGAACGTCATCTTCGGGCACCAGGACGACACCAACTGGCTGCTCGCCGAGGGGGCTGTGCTCAAGAACAAGTTCGACGATATCTTTTCGGCCACCAAGTAGGTCTATGGGGGTGGGGGGGGGAGTGATTGGCGTATGAATGGAGGTGGGTCCGTGCACCAGGACGACCCCAACTGGCTGCTGGCTGAGGAGAGGATGCTGTGCTCAAGAATAGGCTTGATGACATTTTCTCAGCCACCAGGTACGGATTTGCTGAGGTGGCTTTCTGATTACGCAGATTGCACCTTCTTTGTTACTGAATATGTCTTGCTGGAGGTTGTCAGTCGATGGTCTGACTTGCAATCATCATCTTTCATTTTTCCTGTGCCTTGTGCCATGGCTCAGGTACACTAAGGCGCTGGAGGCATTGAAGAAGGTGCACAAGGAGCAGGCGCAGCTTATAAAGGAAATGAAACTGAAGGCTGAGAACCTCAAGAACATACGCGACACAGCCTTGCGGGTGCGTGTTATTCCGAGTTCATGAGAGGCCGCTTAAGCGAGAGGGGTGGGGACTTCCTCGGTTTCTCCTTTCCTCCCTCAAACTGTAATGTCGATTACCAAGTTTATAAGAGGCCGCTTATGTGCGAGGGACAGAAATTTCCTTGACTCCTCCATTCCTCCCTCACATTGTGATGGAAATCATCAAAACGCTCTGCTTTTTGCTTCACCCCTCCTCTTCTCTCCTCACCCTTCTTGACCCCCTGCTTAACAGCTAGAGGAGAGCATCAAGGCAGATTCGGGCCAGTCAGAGCGCCTGGCAGCGCAGATCGAGAGGCTGGAGGGGCAGATAGCAGAGCGGAGGGAGCGGCAGGGGGAGGTGGAGACTGCCCTGGCGCGGCTGAGGCAAATGATGGCAGACGTGCAGACGCAGGAGGGAAGGCTGGAGCTGCTTTCAAGGCAGAAGGTCCAGCAGCGTGCCAATATCGTGTCTGATAACCAAGGTAGGAGCTCAGCGCGAGGTGGGACCGAGAGGGAGAGGTGGAGGCCGCCCTGGCGCGGCTAAGACGGCTGATGGCGGACGTGCAGATGCAGGAGGGGCGGCTGGAGCTGCTGTCACGGCAGAAGGTGCAGCAGCACGCCAATATCGTGTCCGACAACCAAGGTAAAATGATGGCATCATTTTTGGGTGTTAGGGAAGGTTCTGGGCCATCGCTGACTGCAACAATGGATCGCCACTACTGCCTCTGAGGGTCACGGTGTGTCTGCCTGTTCCTGTGCCTGTGTTCTCAACCGGTCGTCGCTTCTCTCCGCTCCTTTTCCCCCTCAGACTCGGACGAGCAGCTGCAGGCGTGGCACAAGGAGTTCGAGGGCGTGGTGGCGAAGGTGGACGCGAGTCTGGCGCAGACCACGCGGGCGCTGAGTGAGCTGAGGATCCAGAACGAGGCGGAGAGGGACAGGAGCGAGAGGGACAAGCAGCTCATCAGCAGACTGCAAGTGGAGAAGGAGGTCCGTGCTTGCTTTCCCAACATCGGACGCATGCGTGCAGCGTCTTTCACTAGGCACTGAGTTTCCTCCCAAGGGGAGTGGGATGTTATTCGCGCTGTGCTGTCGTTTTCCTTGTGTCATCCCCTATGCGCTCCTGGATCCGGGAACGCCTTCCATTAATCGTGCAGCAACTCTGAGTCAGCTCTGTTGCTCCCTTCCTAATGTCCCTTTAACCGCCGTGTGCTGTGGACGTTAACCCTTGTTCCTTATCCGTCCCTTGCTTCCTCCCCTACCTCCCCCAACCAACCCTGCGTTTTCCTTTCAGGTGCACGAGCGTGACTGTGGCGAGCCTGACAGGTGTTTGCAGGAGCTGTTTGTTTAAGTGCGAGCTGGGGGAGGCAGGAGGGCAGTTTATCAGGTCCCATTCCTTTCACTCCACCCTGCACCCAACCCCCCAACACTCCCTCAGGTGTACGAGCGTGACTGCGGCGAGCGGGACAAGTGCCTCCAGGAGCTGTTCATAAAGTACGAGCTGGGGGAGGTGGGGCCTCTGCCCCTGGCGAGCGACGAGGCGGTGGAGGCGGGCATGCGCGCGGGGGCCCGGCTCTCGGAGCTGCAGGGGCGCTGGGAGGACATAAAGCGGGCGCAGCAGGGGGAGGAGCGGCGCAGAGGGGCGGAGATAGAGGCAGCTGGGGGGGAGATAGTGAAGGCGGAGGGGCAGCTGCACATTGCCCAGGAGAGGAAGGTGCGGGAGTTAAGTGGAAAAAGGGATTCTATTTATCATGGTTTTTGTTCACAATCCAGGTTCTGTGTGCCTTGTGTGATGGCTTTGCCTTCTGTCTGTGCACTTGGGGCTTAAAGCCTGCTGCGGATTATGGTTGCTGTTGCTTGGTGTGGTGTGTGCTGTGCAGAGGAGCAGTGAGGCGAGGAGGCAGCAGCTGAAGGGCGCCATGGACAGTAGCGCCGTGGACGAGGATGGCATGGCGCGGCTGGAGAGGGAGGAGAAGAAGGCGGTGAGTCCCCTCGACCTATTGTGTCTCGTGGGTCTCTTGAGTCTCTTGAGTCGAGTCACTACTCACCTACCTAGGGACGCGGTGGACAGCAGCGCCGTGGACGAGGATGGCATGGCACGGCTGGAGAGAGAGGAGAAGAAGGCGGTGAGTCCACTGCGAACCCTATAAATCCTCCGTTTCGTACTCAACGCTGCACCTCTAAACTTGACACTATATTGCCACACGTGTCCCATGAGCAGAAAGCAGAGGCGGACAGGCTAGCCGCTAAGCTCCGTGACCCGAATCTGGTCTCTAAGCTGGAGGACGCCAAGGCAGGCAGACCTGAGCCAGCAGGAGCAGCGGCAGCGAAAGCTGTGTGTGGCTTGAATTCCTGTTCCCCCCTCCCTCCCCTTGCAGAAAGCAGAGGCGGACCGGCTAGCAGCGAAACTGCGCGACCCGAATCTGCTGTCCAAGCTGGAGGACGCCAAGACAGACTTGAGCCGGCAGGAGCAGCGGCAGCGGGGCCTGCAGCGGGAGAAGGACAGCCTGGCAGCGGAGAGCAGCGAGAGGGTCACTCTCAGGCTCAAGCAAGAGGCGTTGAGGGAGAAGGAGGCTCAGCTCAAGAAGCTGTGAGTGCTGCTATGGGTGCCTTCGGGCTTGTCCTTGTGGCGTGCTTTGGGGTGTACTACCAGGTGTTCGTTTCCTTGCGCACCCCCTCGTCACTCGTGGGCTTTTCTTGCGCACTCCCTTGCGGACTTTCTCCTCGCATCGCGCGGTTTTTCCCCAGGAACCCCTCCGCAACCTTTCCCCGCCCACCCCGCGGGCTATGCCAGCCAGTGCACCCTGCGGGCTTTCCCTGCGGCCCGCCCTGCGGGCTTTCCGCCCGCACCCCCGGCGGGCTTTCCCTGGGCACAACCCCGCGGGCTTCCTTTGCGGCCCACCCCATGGGGTGTTGTACGCATGGGGGGTTGTACGCATGGGGTGTTGTGCGCGGCCCCTCCGCAGGCTTCCGGTGTGATTTTAGGTGTTGTTTGGGGTGTGGTTTGGGGTGTGGTTTGGGGTGTGGTTTGGGGTGTCTCACGTGAGGCCCTTACGGTGAGGGCGTTTTTTAGGCTGAAGCAGCAGCAGGAGGTGAGGTGATCTTGGAGGAGGAGGCTCAGCTGACGGAGATGTCAGCACTTTGAATCGAGAACGTGCTCACATTGCTATGGAAGCCATTCTGTGTTGGATTGCTATTCTCTTCATTTTCGGATTGGCACTATTCCCCCTCTCGCTCCTGCCCGTTTCTCGCCACTCTCCCCTCCCCCTCTCTATGTTTTGCCTTTCATGCCGCTGCGCCGCCCACCCTCCTGTGGATGACTGCCGATCTGTCGTTCTGCCGTCCCTGCATGGCAGGCTGGCCGAGAACAAGAGGCAGGTGGAGGAGGTGATTGCCAGTGCGAAGGCTTCAGCTGTCCCACCGTCCTCCTCAGCCTGTCTCCTCTGTTCATGCCCCCACACCCTCCTGCCCATGTCTCTTTTTCTGCCCTTCCTGCTTGGCAGGCTGGCGGGGAACAAGAGGCGGGTGGAAGAGGTGATGGGAGGCGAGAAGCGTTCAGCTTCCCCATCGCCCCTTCGCCTTTTCAAGCCCTCCCCTCCCCCCTCCCCCTGTGCGTCACGCCATTCATTCCTCTCCCCCCCCACCCTCCTGTGCGTGACTGCCCTCTCGTCGCGCTTGCCAGACTGGCGGAGAGCAAGGGGCGGGTGGAGGGGGTGGTGGGCTGCGAGATGCCTTCAGACGCACGCAAGCTGCTGCAGGAGGTGGAGAAGGCAGCCAGGTTGGTGTGATTGTAAGGAGGGAGGTGGGGTGGGTGTGTGTGATTACAAGGTGCACAGCATTCAATAGACGTGCTGAGAAGGCTGGTAGGTAGATGGGGGATAGGGACATGGGGGATGGGAATATGGGGAATGGGGGATAGGGATATTGTCGCGTTACCCACGGGAAGAGATGGGCTTCCCATGGTTAACACAGCAGCAAGGGAGGAGTGGGTTGAGGAAGAGAAGAATCGAAGAAGAAGACTTGGGGTGAATCGGTAGGAATAACAGAAAAGTAAGGTGATACGGAAGAAGGTACAGTACGGCACTGTACCAATTCAGCAATACAGCAAATCGAGGGTGGAGAGACAGGAATGTTGAAGGACCGAGGCGCAAACCAAAATGAGGTGGAGGGCGTCAGCAGGGGCCCAATCTGACGGAAAAGGGGGTCAAGCGCAATCTCAGTTCTCAAGGGAAGAAGGAGAAGAGGGAATGACAGAGCAGAGGAAATTGGACGTGTAAATAGTAGGCAACTCAGTAGGATGATCGCTTTTCGCTTGTATGTTTTCCTTCAATACTGCAAATTCGCTCTAATCCTACTAGAGTTCAGCAGTGCGGGAATTCGATCCTAAGTAGATCTGAGCAGGCGTCGTGCGGCTTGTAACATACAAGCGAAAAGGCGGCAGAGCGACCGCTGAGGAAGTGATCTAACTAGCGGCTGGACGAGGACGAACTGCGGTAAAGCGTGTTAGACCGCAGGCAGCGATGAGTCGGGAGACGAGTCCTGAGGGACATCGCTTGAGGTCGGGGATCAGATACCCGGCACGGAACGTACAGGAGGACGTGCAGCCACCGCTTCATCCTGTGTACCGCGCTGGGCCGCATGAGCCCGAGGGACGTGAAGCAGATGCTTCAGCGGCGGCAAGAGAAGGAGCCGGGGAGGACGTCGGATTGCCAGATCCGCGAAGTCGCGGAGAATCGGGAAGGAGTTCGCGAGGAGGAACGCCAGGTCTCGGAGAGAGATTACGCGAGCAAGAGGAGATGGAGAAAGAAGAGGAGCAGAGGCGGAGCGAGGCGCCAAGGGAGTGCGGGCCCAGATCCACGCAAGTTCGTACGGCTGGAGGTTATTCGGGAGGAGAAGGAGGGAGGGTGAATTCGTGGGAAACCGGACGGTCAATAGCCGCGAATGTCTCGAAGATAGAAGTACGAGAGAGATTTTCGGGCATGCCGGGTGAAGAACCCTCGCTAAAAAATTATATCATGCTGATAGATGACATCCGCTACTGCTGGGATCGAGAGGGGCTAGATCCGATAGAGTTCTTTAGAGGCCTGGGAAAGACGCTCCGAGGAGAGGCGCAAACCCACTATCGAGTGGAGAGGGCAAGGCTGCTGCGCGAGTGTGAGCAGGGAGAAATTCCGCCCCGTAAGATCGTAGATCGGTTTTATGATATCCTCAAGGAGCAATTTCCAGGCGATACAGCAGATCGAGTAGCAGAATTCAGTGAATTCCGTAGAGGAAAAGGCGAGTCGTTGCTGGCCTATTACAACCGGCTAGTGGAGCTGTCTGAAGACCTCAACTGTTTGGAGGACCGTCTGATGGTCACCAAGTACTTAGGAGGATTAGATGAAGAATTAGTCAACGAAATGAGGATCGCTCTCTATCCAATTCGTTCTAAGGCCACGCTGAGGCAAGTGTATCAGATAGCTAAAGAACTGAGGAGGGGAGGCGCTATGTAGACATGATGAGAGGAGCTCGTCGACCCCCAGAGCGGAGAAGACCGGCATGGTCGGCAACCGAAGCTCGGCGACCAGAAGTAGAGAGGAGAGAGAGGATGAGGAACGATCGCCGCTGTCACAAGTGCGGAGAAGTCGGCCACCTGCGCTAGGACTGTGTGATGGGCATCACGTGCGACCACTGCGGGCAGATGGGCCACTTCAGGAGAAACTGTCCCAGAGCTCCCACCTGCAGCGAGTGCGGAAAGAAAGGACACCTCAACAGCCAGTGTTATCGGAGAGGAGGAGGACAAGTGGGGAGAACGATGAGAGAGCAAGAGCTGGAGCAGGAAGTCAAGAAGCTGAGGGCGCAGCTGGGGAAAGCAGAAATCAGCGAAGACCCTGAGAAAGCAATGATGGCTTGGGAGGATGATGAGGCTGAGGAGGAAGAAGACCAGGAGTCCGAGTACGCCCTGGTGGCGACTCTACCGCGGGAAAGAGCGGACCTGGGACTGCGGAGCGGTGGGGTGGACGGGAGGAAGGAACTTAAGACAGAGACACGGAGCAAGAAGCCAGGAAGAGAGCCGGAAGAAGGAGGAAACCGAGCAAAGCGACACCCAGAAGATAGGCTGGTGTGCCACACGACTGCGCTGCTGGCTGAAGCGGGCTCCATAGCAGTACAAGGTATGAAGGTGGACAATGCTATAATCGATACCGGAGCTCAAAGTGTCCTGATGGGGAGAAAGCTAGCAGAGCGATTGCGGAAGCAAGGGAAGCTGGAGACGGCAACCAAGGGAATGCTCATCATGACGGCAGAGGGAGGACCACCCAAGTGGATGCCTAGCACGAAGGAGCCGATAGAGGTTGCGCTGCTGCCAGGACAGAAAGAAGAAACCAGGATCCGAGTGCAGTGCGGGCTCTCCGAGTCGGATGATTACGACCTGCTGGTGGGAATGGAGTTGATCTATAAGATCGGGGCGCAAATCGATGCGTGGGGAGAGAAGCTGAGCTTCAGGACCGAATACTGGAAGGAGGGTGGGGCGCAGGGAGAGCTGCCTGTGCGCTTCGTGAAGATGGAGCCAAGAAAGGCCCTGCAAGTCACAGAGGTGCAGCAAGCAGAGATGAAGGAGAGAATGGCAGGGGGCAAGAAACCAACCGAGATAGGCGGAATGGGAACGCGGGGTCAGCCGGAAGTAGTGACGCTGGGCGAAGGGCCGATCACGATCGTAGAACTCTTTGGGGGAATAGGAGCGGGATTGGCAGCTGCGCTGGAAGCCGGATTGGTGGTGCAAAGGTGGATTTTAGTGGAGATAGACCCAAAGGCCAGGCGCATGGCCTGGCATCATGCAGACCAGTTGCTGGAAAAGTATCCGGGGCAAATATGCAAGGCCGTGATTGAGGAGGCAAAGAGAGAAGGAACTTGGGATGTACGACAGCTGAATGAAGCAACTGTCTGGGAATGGGGTCAAGTAGATCTAGTGGTGGCAGGCTGGGAGTGCCAAGGCACCTCTAGAGCGGGAAAAGGGAGAGGAATGGGAGATGCACGCACAGCGTTGCTGGACGAGCTACTACAAGTGTTGAAGTGGATTCAGGAAGGGGGATCAAGGTGCTGCTATGTAGTGGAACATGTAGACATGACAGGAGATCCGCGGGAACCCGTAAGAGCAACACAAGAGAAGGTGGTAGCGGAGCTGGGGGCAGGCGTAAGCTGGGATGCGGCGCTGAACGGAGCAAGAGCTCATCGAGTGAGAAGATACTGGCAAAACGGAGTGAAGACAGAGAAGCTAAGACAAGGACTGGCCGATCTAAGAGATACAAGACTCCTAGTAGATGACATACTGGAGCCAGGGAGAACGTCGGCCCCGGTAGAGAAAAGAGACCACCCTAAGCAGCTACAATGCAACAAGATAGGCGAGCCAAGAAGGGCGTGGCCTACCCTAGTGTCCTACGAGGGAGCCTGCGGGTTTGTGTTAGAGGGAAGCGATCCCGGGCCGGGCATGGTCTACGATAGAGAGAGAGGGCAGTGGGAGGAGCCAACAGCAAACGAGAGGAAGCTGGCTATGGGATACATACTGGGGGCAACTGCAGCACGAGGAGTAAAGGAGCAGGAGCGCAGGGCCGCATTGGGCCGAGCGATGGATCAGCACGCTCTGCAGTGGTTGCTGAAAGAAATAATGCAGCAGCGGCAAGAAAGGGAGTCGAACCAGCAGCGGGCAGAAGAGTGCAGGAGGCGGACTCAAACGAGCCGAGCATACCTGATGCAGGGAGAAAAGCAAGGAAAGGCAGCAGAAAAAGAAAAAAGGGGGGGGACAGAGAAGGGGAAGGAGAAAGAGTGGGAGCTGAGCCCTGACCTTGACAGCAAGGTAGCAGCAGCAATCCGACAAGTTTTACAAGAGCATCACGAAACGTTTGACTACACGCTGCAAGATCTGGGAAAGTGCACCCTGCATGAATTAGAGCTGCCGCTGGACACTGAAGTGCCGGTCTACCAGCGGAGAAGGCGGATGAGTCCTGGAGACGAGGAGATATGCAGAAGCAAATGCAAAGAACTGCTGGAAGCGGGACTGATACGCCCTTCCAACTCCAAGTCACCGTATGCAGCAGCAACAGTGGTGGCAGCTCGAACCGACCTGACCGGAGAGGTGTTAGCAAGAAGAATGTGCGGAGACTACAGGGACCGATACAGCATGCCAACTGCAGAAGAGATATTTGACAAGCTCGAAGGCGCGGTCATATTCTCAACCCTGGATATGCGGCAAGGGTTCAACCAAATAAGGATAAAGGAAGGAGACAAATGCAAGACCGCCTTTCACGGAGTGGACGGCCTGTACGAATGGAATGTAATGCCATTCGGACTAAGGAATGCGTCAGCTGTATTCCAGAGGGTCATGGATCAAGCGTTGAAGACAGTGCCAACAGCGGCGTGCTACATTGACGACGTGGTGATCTTCAGCAAGAGTGAAGAAGAACATGCCAAGCACCTGAAAGCGACATTGGACGCCATAGCTGAGGCAGGGCTCACCTGTCACCCGGAGAAGTGTAAGATAGCGAGGAAGACAGCGACTTACCTGGGATTCGAAGTGCAAGGCGGAAGGATGGGAATTCCAGAGGCCAAGGTGGCTGTGCTAGACAAGCTGGGGGCACCAAAAGAGAAGGGAGCATTGAGAGCACTACTGGGGTTCCTGAACTACTACAGGCGATTCATTCCCAACTTCAGCAAGAGAGCATACAGGCTGAATCAGTTGCTGAGGGAGGGGCAAGCATGGAAGTGGGGAACAGAGGAGGAGCAGGCGAGAAAGGACTTGCTGGAGGCCATCAAGGCAGGGACGGTACTGCTGTTACCAAAGAAAGACACCCCGTACATAATATACACAGACTGGAGCAGCAAGGGCATGGGAGCAGTGCTGTGTCAAGAACTGGAAGGAGAAGAACGAGTGGTGGCATACGCCAGCCAAAGCTGCACAGCAACAGAAGCAAACTACAGTTCATACGAAGGGGAAGGATTGGCAGCGGTGTGGGGAGTAACACACTTCAGGGCTTACCTGCAGAGTTCCAAAGCACCTTTCCAGAGCTCCTAAAAGAAGTAGGCATCACTCACAGAGTGACATCACGGTATCACCCTCAATCAGATGGGTTGACAGAACGGATGATACAGACGATCAAAAGAGGACTACGGGTGTATGGCGAACAGAGGAAGCGAGAGTGGGATACAGAGCTGCCATGGGTACTGGCGGGCTATCGGTTCGCAAAGCAGTCAGCTCTGAAGGATATGTCCCCGTACCACCTGCTGTACGGAAGAGAGCCAGTGCTGCCGGTGGATGTGCCCAAGCTACTCACTGAAGTAATGGAAGAGGGGTCTGCGGAAGCATGGGCAGAAGCGGCTATGCGCAGAGGAGAATACCTGAAAGAGCTGATGCCAGCAGCATTAGAGAATCTGCACACCGCGCAGTTGAGAGATGCTCGCAGATACCAGCAGCGGCGAGAACGAGAGACTGGAGGGATACTCAGTAACGTGGCAGTGGGAAAAGAAGTGTACCTGAGAAAGGCGCGGAAGGACACTCTAGAACTATCAGTGGGCAGCGAGAGGTGGCGCGTGAAGGAGACACGGCCGTCGGGAGTGTTAGTAGTGGAGAATGAGAAAGGAGAGACGAGGAAAGAGCATGTTACGAATGTGGCGGCAGCCGGAGAGCGGTGGACCAAGCAAAAGTGTCCCATGTCTGAACCGAACGAAGAACCCGATTCAGGCAGCAGAGCTTGGTCCCAGGGCACCAGTGATAACCTACACAAGGCGGAATGGATCAGGGAGGAAGAAGGGTAAGGAGGAAGGATAGTTGAAGCAAAGGAAGACTTGGGAGTGGCACGAAGCACGACAGCTGTCGCGTTACCCACGGGAAGAGATGGGCTTCCCATGGTTAACACAGCAGCAAGGGAGGAGTGGGTTGAGGAAGAGAAGAATCGAAGAAGAAGAAGACTTGGGGTGAATCGGTAGGAATAACAGAAAAGTAAGGTGATACGGAAGAAGGTACAGTACGGCACTGTACCAATTCAGCAATACAGCAAATCGAGGGTGGAGAGACAGAAATGTCGAAGGACCGAGGCGCAAACCAAAATGAGGTGGAGGGCGTCAGCAGGGGCCCAATCTGACGGAAAAGGGGGTCAAGCGCAATCTCAGTTCTCAAGGGAAGAAGGAGAAGAGGGAATGACAGAGCAGAGGAAATTGGACGTGTAAATACTAGGCAACTCAGTAGGATGATCGCTTTTCGCTTGTATGTTTTCCTTCAATACTGCAAATTCGCTCTAATCCTACTAGAGTTCAGCAGTGCGGGAATTCGATCCTAAGTAGATCTGAGCAGGCGTCGTGCGGCTTGTAACAAGCAGAGCTTGGTCCCAGGGCACCAGTGATAATCTACACAAGGCGGAATGGATCAGGGAGGAAGAAGGGTAAGGAGGAAGGATAGTTGAAGCAAAGGAAGACTTGGGAGTGGCACGAAGCACGACAATATGGGTAATGGAGATATGGGGGATGGGGATTTGGGGGATGGGGATTTGGGGGATACGGATACATGGGAGATGGAGGCAGGGAATAGGGAGGCAGGGAATAGGGATGCAGGGAATAGGGGTACAGGGGATAGGCATGCAGAGCAAGCACTCTGAAAAGCTCTCCGGCCGAAAAGCACTCCAACCGAAAATCACTCCGGCCGAAAAGCACTCCGGCCGAAAAGCACTCCGGCCGAAAAGCAGTCCGGCCCAAAAGCACTCCAGCCCAAAAGCAGTCCGGCCCTAACGCACTCCTTCCCTAAAGCACTCCGCCCCTAAAGCACTCCGCCCCTAAAGTACTCCGCCCCTAAAGCACTCCGCCCCTAAAGCACTCCGCCCCTAAAACACTCCGCCCCTATAGCACTCTGAAAAGCACTCTGGGCTCTCCGGCCGGGAAGCCCTACATGGGTTAGGGATACAGGGGATCGGGATGCAGGGGATAGGGATGGGGGGGATAGGGATGCAATGGATGGGGGTACAAGGGTTTGCCGGGGCTGGAAGGCAATTTTTGTTACTGGATGGCAGGTGGGAGCTAATGCACCCAGCTCCTTCGCTCCCCTCTTCCCTTGCAACTTCCTCCCCCCTTCTGCAACCTCTCTTCCCCCCCCCCTGCCCTCCCCCCCCCTTCTCGCTTGCGACCTTTTCCCCCCAGCAACGTCCCCCTCCCCCCCCCACCCCCTTGCTGTTAGAATATCCTACTATATTCAGTAGTCTACATAGATTTGTTAGTCTTGAGTATAGTTAAGCACTCCACTACTATTAGGGTGTAATAAACCTAATTGGAGGTTGGATTCCCAACTTGGTTGGGTTTCCCATTTGGTTGGGTCCACAATTATTTGGGTCCCCCAATAATTCCCACCAGAATTATTGGACCACCAATAATCCCAACCAGAATTATTGGTGGGGGCCAATAATCTTGGCCAACTCCCAACCAACCCTCCCTTCCTCCCTTTCATCACATTCCTATGTAAACCCTTGTGCTTTCCCTCTAATCAACTTTTCTAAGTTCACATTTTCTCACACTTGCGACCTCCCTCCGCCCCCCCCCCCCCCCCCGGAAATGCTGCATGTCTTATGCAGCATTGTGAGTTGCAGCGATGTGTGAATCCCACATCCTTGTATCCCTGCTTGCGTGCTTCTCTGCACGCATGCCTGGCAGGTCGCAGCGCGCCGAGTGTGAGGAGGCGGATAAGGAGACCAAGGAGGCGGGCAACGAGGCAGCAGGGATTTCGAACTCTTGCATCCTTGCATCCCTCCATGCCTGCTTCCCTGCTTCCCTGCATGCGTGCATGCGTGTATGGCAGGTCGCAGCGTGCAGAGTACGAGGAGGCGGATAGGGAGGCCAAGGAGGCGGGCAACGAGGCAGCAGTGCAGCAGCAGCGGCTGGACCATGCGAGGAAGGAGCTCGCCCAGCGCAGCAACGAGATGGATGGTGAGTGGTTAAGTGCGGTACAAACATAGTGGTGTGTGGTCGGGTGAGGTGACCAGCACCAGCGGTTGGGCCATGCGAGGACCAAGCTCAAACGGCACAGCAATGAGAGAGGTGGTGAGTGAATGGTGTGATAATAAGGGGTAAGCTCAAACCAGATAGGGCAATGAAGCGGATGGGATCAAACCTTTTCCCAATCTTCATCCCCCTCTCTCTCATCCCTTTCTCGTCGTCCCCTACCATCCCGCCCCATCCCTCCCATCCCTCCCTCCAGCCAAGCGTGTCACGATCCAGGCGCGGCTGAGCAGTGCAGTGGACCCATCTCTTGCGGTGGATGAGCTGGACAGGGTGCGTGGGGAGAAGCGAGCAGCCCTGGAGGATGCCATAGGGTGGGTGCATGGGTGCATGGTGCGATCACATGGGTGCATGGTTTGGCCAGTTGTATGGATGAGTCCGTTGGGTGATGGCATGGGCTTGTGGACCCAGCTCTCTCGGTGGATGAGCTGGACAGGGTGCATGGGGAGAAGAGAGCAGCCCTGGAGGATGCCATAGGGTGGGTGCATGGATGCATGGTGGAAACAAATAGGTGCACAGTGCCAGCTCTTCAACCCTCCCTCGCCCTCCCAGCATTCCACATTGTTCGGGACATCCCTCAACAACTCTCCAACTGCCTCTATATGCCATTGCTTGCAGGAAGTATGAAACATTTTTATGCTGGGGCATTAATGGGGCCTATATACACAGGAGACGGTTTTTTAGGCGTCCCCACATGCCCCCATGCATCCTTGGTGCGTGCAGGGAGTAGAAGAACGAAGCGATGCTGGAGCAGCTCTGGGTGCGGTACGTCCAAGAGACCATGTTCGAGGCGTCTCAGTAGTCCCAACACACCACCACATGCCCTTCTTGTGTGCAGAAAATGCGAGAGTTTCCTGATGCTGGAGCAGTTCTGGGGGCGGTTCATCCAGGAGTCCTGTTATGAGGGGTCGTAAACCCCCCCATGCCCCCACCCCGTGCCCTTCTTGGTTGCAGAAAATACGAGAGTTTCCTGATGCTGGAGCAGTTTTGGGGGCGGTTCATCCAGGAGGCGCAGAGCAAGCACCGCTGCCACACGTGCGAGCGGAAATTCTCCAAGGCAGAAGAGGCCGCCTTCATTCAGAAAACGAGGGCCAAGAAGGCGGATTCGGTTGGAATGGAGGCACGGGTGAGGGGGGATAAGGAGCGCCTGGTGCAGCAGCTGGGAATTCTGGATGACCTGCATCCTGTTTATAACGAGTACAGGAAGCTGGTGGACGAGGTGGTGCCAAATGCCAGGACGGCATTGGGCCATGTGGAGGAGGCCCAGATCAAGGCGCAGGAGCGATATGAAAGTGTGAGTTGCTTGTGCCGCGGTTTATAGTGACGTTGGGCCGTTCGTCTAAGCCATGTGGTCTTCTCATGTTCGAGCTCTTTCTTACCACTATCTTGTATCTTGTTCTCACTTGGGAGGTGCGGATTTTGGGGGGGTGCGGTGCGGGTTTTGGGGGGTTGCGGGTTGGGGGGGGGTTGCAAGTTTTTGGGGGGGTGCTGGTTTTGGGGGGTGCGTGTTTTGGGGGGGTGCGGGTTTTGCCGGGGTACGGGTTTTGGGGGGGGGTTGGTCCCATGCTTCTCGTTTCCAACCCCACCCCCCCCGTGCCTCCCTCCAGCTGCTCGTTTTGCTGGCTTAGGAGACGGCCTGGCTCCATGCAGTCGCGCGGGTGGAGGGAGTGGTCCAGGAAGGGCAGGATTGGCCCAGGAAGGGCTTCGCTTCTTCCGTCATCTCTTCCCTCCCCAATCCTTCTCTGTGAACCCCCCCCCCCCCCCCCCCCCCTCCCTCCTCCTCTTCCAGTTGCTGTGTCTCCTGGCGGAGAGGAAGGCGAGGCTGGATGCGTTGCCACGGGTGGAGGCTGTAGCCAAGGAGGCTGAGCGCCTGAAGAAGGAGGCAGACGCCTTGAGCGAGGAGGTGGCGAGTCTGGAGTACAGACTGGACATGCTCTCCCAGGGCATGCGGTCCCTGGCGGACGTGAATGCAGACCTCGCTGCTGCAGAGGAGAAGAGGTGAGAGGAGGGTAAGGGGTAAGGGGTAAGGGGTAAGGGGTAAGGGGTGGCCCATCGCTGCTGATTATTCAGAGCGTCCTTGAGTGAGGGGGTCACCAATCTGGAGACGAGGTGAGACAGGAGTAAGGGTAGTACAGGAACGAATTGGGGGGTCAGAGTGAATGGGGGAGACGTTTTCCGAGAGTCAACTCAACACAGCATGTGAGAGGAGAGTCAACTCAACACAGCATGGGAGACGTGGTGAGTTTTGAATGCCTGAAAGCTAATGTGGAAGTGCTGCCTTTTCTCTGAAGGGCTGGGTACCCTCGGAAGCTGTCTCCCAGGGAAATATCCCATGCCCTCATGTCCCATGCCCTCATATCCCATGCCCTCATGTCCCATGCCCTCATGTCCCATGCCCTCATATCCCATGCCGTGCCCTCATATCCCCTGCCCTCATATCCCAGGCCCACATATCCCCTGCCCTCATATTCCAGGCCCACATATCCCCTGCCCACATATCCCCTGCCCGCATATCCCATGCCCACATATCCTCTGCCCACATATCCCATGCCCACATGTCCCCTGCCCACATATCCCATGCATGCCCACATATCCCATGCCCACATATCCCATGCCCACATATCCCCTGCCGACATATCCCCTGCCCACATATCCCTTGCCCACATACCCCCTGCCCACACATCCCATGCCCACATTGTTAGAATTTTCTCCCTTCATTCTATTAGCCTACATTGTTTCATTGTCTTAGGTACTTATAAGCACCCCACTAGCATGTATACACCCAAGTTGGGGGTTGGGTTCCCAAATTGGTTGGGCCCCCAATAATCCCAACCAAGATTGTTGGACCCACCAATAATCTTGGCTACGATTATTGGACCTCCAATAAGTTGGCCAACCCAACTTATTGGGGTGACCAATAATTGTGGTCGCCTGCCAACCAAACCCCTCCTCCTACCCGCTCCTTTCCTAATACAATCATGACTTCACTTTCTCACACACATATCACCTGCCCACATATCACCTGCCCACATATCCCATACCTACATAACCCCTGCCCACATATCCCCTGCCCACATATTCCCTGCCCACATATCCCCTGCCCACGTATCCCCTGTCCACATATCCCATGCCGTCATATCCCATCCCCTCATATCCCTGCCCTCATTTTTCATGCCCACATATCGGATGCCCTCGTTTCCCCTGCCCTCATATCCCGTGCCCTTATATCCCGGGCCCTTATATCCCGGGCCCTTATATCCCGTGCCCTCATATCCTGTGCCCTCATATCCTGTGCCCTTATATCCCGGGCCCTTATATCCCGGGCTCGCATATACCGCGCTCTAAAACCTCATCCCTTGTATCCCCTGCCCTTTTCTCCACTGGTCCGCCTGCAACCCATCCCTGGCCTCTCAGTTGTCGGAGTTCCCTCCCTCTCCCACTCCTCTCGCTCTCCCTCTCCCACTCCTCTCTCTCTCCCACTCCTCTCCCTCTCCCACTCCTCTCCCTCTCCCACTCCTCTCCCTTCACTCACCTCTGCCTGCTCCGTCTCCCTTTGGCCCGTCATGCCTTTTTGGCCCCCCTCCTTCTGTGTCTCCTGTGTCTCCTGTGCTGCGGGGATGCACCAGTGCGCGTCGCATCAGTGGGATGCTCCTAGGGACACAGCAGCACATTGTGCAGTGCCGAGAAACGAGGCAGCAGAGTTACCACCCAACCTATGGTGAACCTTTTCGCTTTTCGCATGCCGTTTATTGTTTCTGTTAGCGGCACAGCAGCACGGGACGTGGAGGGGCTGAGGGAGGAGCACCCAGCGAGCGCTGAGGCACAATGTTGCATTCTCACCCAACACCTGGAAACTCCCTTAATTCATGTTTCCTTGCGTGCTTATTCCAGGGCCGTGGCAGCACGGGACGTGGAGCGACAGAGGGAAGAGCGGCCAGCGCTGAAGGACGAGGCAGCAGCCGATCTACCCAGTCCGTGGACACCTGATCCCTGTTTCACACCCCCTCGATTGTTCCTGCCACGGACGCAGCAGTGCGATACGTGGAGCGACTAAGAGAGGAGCATGCAGCGCTGAAGGACGAGGCAGCAGCCTAACAGCCCAATCGCTTGACACTTGACCCCTGCTTCCTATCCCCATGTCGCGTGCACTCCAGAGACGCAGCAGCACGGGACGTGGAGAGGCTAAGGGAGGAGCACGGGGCGCTGAAGGACGAGGCAGCAGCGGCCAGCAACAGGTGGCGGGGTGCGCGGGAGGAGCGGGCGCAGATGGCTCTGAAGGTGGCGCGCAGGAGGGAGATGGAGGAGGAGGTGGGGCAGCTGGACGTGGCGGTTGAAGAAAGCAAGCTGGAGATGCAGGTGAGGGATGAATGGGGCACACTGATTCGAAAGCTTTGAGACGAGATGGCTCTGAAGGTGGCGCGCAGGAGGGAGATGGAGGAGGAGGTAGTGGGGCTGGATGCTGCGATTGAGGAAAGCAAGCTGGAGATATATGGAGGGGTGAACGGGGGATACACGTGAGGGGTGAACGGGGGATACACGTGAGGGGTGAACGGGGGATACACGTGAGGGGTGAACGGGGGATACCACGTCTTAGATGCCTGTGAGAGAAGTTGGCTCTGATTTGAAAGTGGGGCGCTGGAGTGTGATGGAGGAGGGGGTGGGGCAGCTGGATGCGGCGATTGACAAAAGCAAGCTGGAGGTACAGGTGAGTGGGAGTAGGTGTGAGTGATTGTGGCGATGCAACGCGATGTGTGGTGGGAAATCTCTTTAGTCGCCTCAAAAGACGTGAGGCGATGTGTGGTGGGAGGTCTTTTGAGGCGCCTCATTACACACTGTGGTGGGAAATATTTTGAGGCGCCTCATTACACACTGTGGTGGAAGATGGTTGCCAGAGGAGGTCTGTGCTAGCTGAGCAGGAACAGGAAGAGCTGAGAACGATTTCCGTTGCCCTCCTCATGATCCTTCCGTCTCTTCTTATCGTGATGACTTTATCTTGTTGTCATTCCCCTGCCCGAGCTTTATCTTATCTTCCCTTCCGTCAGCATAACCCTTCCCCCCACACAAACACTTCTCGCCTCCACGTGTGTCCCTCCCTTTCCCAACTCTCCTCTAGGCACTGGAGCGCAGCATAGGGCCACTGAGGAAGAAGCATGGGGAGGCGGTGGAGGGGAGGAAGGTGTGGAGGGAGAGGGCGAGTGCAGAGGAGGCGGAGATGCAGGGGCGGGTGAGGGGGATGCAGAGGGACCTGGACGGGATGCGAGGGACATTCTCCAAGGTCAACCAGTGAGTGCACAGATATGGGCATGGCTGTTACATGGCAGTATGGTAACAGGGTTACTTTGCAGGGGCGGGTGAGGGGGATGCAGAGGGACCTGGATGGGATGCGAGGGAAATTCTCCAAAGTCAACCAGTGAGTGCGTGATACAGGTATTTCAAATAGTGTGGTTTCAGCGGTCTGGTTTCGGGGGTATGGTGACAGGTCTATTGTGCTGCGGCTACGCAAAGCAGCAGAGCGGCTGCAGCAGTCACAATCCCGGCAGGCGTCCAACGAGCAGCAGATGCAGCAGCTGGGTGCCAAGGAGGCGGAGGAGCGCGAGATGCTGCGCAACCAATCCGCTGTGAAGCGACTCCTTTCTCCGCTTCTCTGGTGTGTTTCCCTTCGCCCCCCCCGCCCCCCCCCCCCCACCCCTCCCTCCCCCCCCCCTTTTATGCAGGTACCTGGACTCCAACAAAGATGAGCAGCTAGCGGAAGCCACAGAGCGGCTGCAGACATCACAATCACGTCAGTCATCACAAACACCAACCCCCAACTCCCCCCCCCCCCTCCTTCGCAGGTACCTGGACTCCAACAAAGATGAGCAGCTAGTGGAAGCCACAGAACGGCTGCAGCAGTCCCAAGCGCGACAGTCCTCCAACGAGCAGCAGATCCAGCAGCTGGGCGCCAAGGAGGCGGAGGAGCGCGAGATGCTGCGCAACCAGTCTGCAGTCAAGAGAAACGTGGAGGCGATACTGGTGTTCCGGGCGACTGAGAGGGAGGAGGCGGGGGTGCGGGGGGAGGTGGAGAGGCTGCGGGGGGAGATGGGGCGCGTGGGGCGGGTGGGGGAGTTGGAGGAGGAAGTGAGGGGGGTGAGGGAGGAGATTGATGGGCTCGCTGCTGAGGTGAGCAGAGCTGACTTGTGAGTCCACTTGTATTTTGAGCCGACTTGTATTTTACGTCGACTTGTATTTTGAGCCGACTTGTATTTTGAGTCGACTTGTATTTTACGTCGACTTGTATTTTGAGTCGACTCAGAGGTCACATTGGGAGCTGGAGGAGGAGGTGAGGGGGGTACGGGAGGAGATCTATGGGCTCGCTGCTGGGGTGAGCAGGGATGGATTGAGAAGGTGGGCGTTGCTTTTGGTTGTAGGTGAGTGGTTTTGAGAAAAGATGGGGATTGGCTTTGAGTTGTTAGTTGTGCGTTACGCCGGACTGAACCACCTTGGGGGCAAGGTGGCGGTGCATGAGGTCAGCATTTAAAATGTGCATGAGGTCAGCATTTAAAATGTGCATGAGGCCCTCTTCAGTCTCTTCCCCCTCCCCCCCCCCCTCCACGCCCCCTTCTGTTCTCCCATTGCACTGCAGCAAAACCACAGCCGGGGCAAGGTGGCAGCGCATGAGGCGAGCATTCGGCGCTCCCAAGCAGAGCTGAAGGCGCCGCAGTTCCGAGACATTGAGAACCGACACAGGAAGCAGCTCATCCAACTCAAGGTAGGTCGGGGGAGAAGAGCGTGTGAGTTGACTGGACTGTCAACTTTTGCTGACTCTTGCACTGAGTAGAGGTGAAGGCGCTGCAGTTCCGAGACAAGCGTGTGGGTTGACTGGACAGTCGCCTTTGAATGACGCATGCTCTAGAGCAGAGCTGAAGGCGCCGCAGTTCCAAGACATTGAGAACTGGCACAGGAAGCAGCTCATCCAGCTCAAGGTAATACCGAGCGAAAAATGCTCCTTTGCTCATCCACCCATTCCATCCCTTCATCCCCACCCTATTCTTGCATCCTGGAGCACACCATTCACACACTCATGTGTCAAGGCCCCTCCAATGCACTGTTCTCTCCCCCTTTTTTGCTTGTGAATGACAAATGTCACATGTGCAGACATCTGAGCTGGCAAACCGAGACATTGATAAGTACTACAATGCACTGGACAAGTGAGTAGCATGCCGCTTAAGGAAGCATCTCGATTTTTCCTGTGAGACATCGTGCCCCTTCGGAGGCGGAAGTATGTGACCGAAGCTTTCTGTTTTTTTTCTATCTTCTGACACTTCCGGGGCTCTAATGCGCTTCGATGCGATGAAGATGGAGCGCTGGCAGCAGACGACCACAACTGGATTTTTGTCTTCTGTCCATCCTTCCTGGATGTCTCTTGGACGCTTCTTCTTTCCCAGGGCTTTAATGCGCTTCCATGCGATGAAGATGGAGGAGATCAACAAGATCATCAAGGAGCTGTGGCAGCAGACGTACCGCGGGCAGGACATCGACTACATTGAGATCCGCTCCGATGCCGAGGGAGCAGGCACGCGCTCTTACTGCTACAGGGTAAGAGACGAGGTCTTACTTGAACAGGGCAGATCTCTTGTTCAGACGTACCGCGGGCAGGACATCGACTACATTGAGATCCGCTCCGATGCCGAGGGAGCAGGCACGCGCTCTTACTGCTACAGGGTAAGAGACGAGGTCTTACTTGAACAGGGCAGATCTCTTGTTCAGACGTACCGCGGGCAGGACATCGACTACATTGAGATCCGCTCCGATGCCGAGGGAGCAGGCACGCGCTCTTACTGCTACAGGGTAAGAGACGAGGTCTTACTTGAACAGGGCAGATCTCTTGTTCAGACGTACCGCGGGCAGGACATCGACTACATTGAGATCCGCTCCGATGCCGAGGGAGCAGGCACACACTCTTACTGCTACAGGGTAAGAGACGAGGTCTTACTTGAACAGGGCAGATCTCTTGTTCAGACGTACCGCGGGCAGGACATCGACTACATTGAGATCCGCTCCGATGCCGAGGGAGCAGGCACACGCTCTTACTGCTACAGGGTAGGCTCTTGTGCACCTTCTTTCGAGTCGACTCGTAATACACAAGGTGCAGGGACACGGTTTTACTCTTACAGAGCAAGCCTCTTGTACGCCTTTTTCCTGCAGGATAGGTCTCATTCACAATTTGTCTGCTAAGTTGTGCATTAACAGCTGCAGGGTGAGCTCTCTCTTCTTCGTTTGTGTTGTTGGTGCTCAGCTAACGTTCTAGATGCTGCCGATTGTTTGTGTGTGTACGTGTCTGTGGAGGCACCTGACAGGTAGTGATGCGCAGTGGTGATGCTGAGCTGGACATGCGTGGGCGATGCAGTGCCGGCCAAAAGGTACAGCTCTGGCTGAAATGTACAGTGCCAGTAAAGGTGTCCATAGAAATGTGTCTCGCCATTGCGTGCTGCCATCATCCCCCCCGTCCGATGTTGGTGCATTCTTGTATTTCCTATTATTTTGCGCATGTCCTTGTCACTCTGTTACTCTATTTTTCCCTTTGTTCTTTCGTCCCTCTTGGGGCCTCACTCCACCACCCTCAGGTGCTGGCATCGCTCATCATCCGCCTTGCATTGGCTGAGACTTTCTGCCTCAACTGTGGGATTCTCGCTCTAGATGAGCCGACCACCAACCTTGACGCACCCAATGCTGAGAGCCTTGCACGGGCCTTGAACAGGTCAGTCTGTAGAGCACTTCCTCTTGTTGTGTTGACATCATGTTCCCTCTTTCGTTGTTCAACTCACTTATTCCCTTGTTATGGTCGCTTGTGTGTAGACTTATGGAAGAGAGGAGAAGCCAAGAGAATTTCCAGCTGATTGTCATCACCCACGATGAGATATTTGCAGAAATGATTGGGCGAAAGGAGCACGCAGACCACTACTATCGCATTTCAAAAGATGAGAGGTAAGAATTACCACTGTTGCGTGTATGGCTGGATAGTAGCAAGCAAATCCACAACTATTCGTTCCATCTCTTGAAATGCAGGCAGCGGAGCACAATAGCAGTTCAAGATATCTACGATTGACGTGGAATGGGACCTTTTTTACATTGAACGGATGCGGCAATTTTTGTGAAATTCGGGGAATGATGTTGAGGTATTTCTTGTATATATATGAAGTGTTCGTTGTTCATGGTTTTGATCCGTGGAAAACTGTTCTCAAATATGAGTGCAACTGTCGAGACGAGTAAGCCAAACGGAAGGTACTTTATCAGATAAGATGAACAGTTTGTGTGTTGGATTCCCACTGCCGAGGGCTGATTCGGATAGGCATTCCACTCTACGTGCCTCGCCACGACCTGAGTGTAATTCCTCGTCGAATGACGCACCGCCACGCGGGATATTTCCCAGATTGCGCTTTGGGATACGAGCTTCAGCAGGGGGTAGTTTCGCCCAAACGCTTTCAGTCTGCAATTCCCGCTTCGAGCCCCTACCCAACCAGCTAGCAGAGCAATTCCCAAGGGAGCCCAGCAGGCACGGACCAGGCAGCACGCACCAGCCACGCCCAATTCCCAAGGGAGACACATTCGCCCCTCCCCCTGCTGCCTGCTGCTCCTGGCCTCTCCTGGTGCTGCTGCTGAGCCCAGCTCTCTCGGAATTCCCTGAGCCAGCCAGCCCAGGCTCTGCCAGGACCAGGCTCAGGCAGGCCCCCATCCCCTGAGCCTGGCTCTTGCGTTCTGCTCCCTGCCTGGGCTCCATGGCTCTCGAATAAGTGCGGTTCGGGACCTGGAGCACCAAGGCCTATTCAGCGACCTTATCACGCCTAGCATTCTTCACCTAACCGGCGACAGCTACTGACATTGTGAACTTCAGTCTTTCTAGTTTCTATCAGTGGCTGTCCTCCAGCCTTGATAGTATCTGACTCGACGGCTTTTTTAACGGAGAGTCAGTTTTTAATACGTACTGGGTCACATTTCTGAGGCTCCTGCTGCTCAGCGAGCCGTTCAAAGCGCTAGAATACTCACCCAGCTGCAGCCCACAACACGCAGCGTCAACCTCAGCGGCCTCTGGTGGATAAGGAGTCTGAACAAAGATTCTCCTGCTGTCCCAGTCAACATCCACCGCTGCTTGGGAGAAAATTCCCTCCACCTTCAACTAGGCACACACATCTGTCATTGGGTGCGAAGCACCCTTGACATGGCCGTCATCTGTTGGAGGGTACCAGAATGCGTAATATAGGAAATCGGAGATTCTCTGGGATTCAGGTAAGAGAGCTCCAACGTTGACCGGGTCGTCCGTCGCTGAACGCTCCACTTCGTGCCACTTTCTGACTGCAGCCAACGTACTCGTTCTGGTGGTGTTCATGATTTCTGCCATCAGGTTAGAGGGAATGTGCAGTACTCAACCGCAAAGCTTGAGCTGCAAGCGGTCAGCCGATGAAGCGCTTCTACCTGTGATATCGAGGTCAAGTGACGAGGCAGAAACTCAAACCAGCCCTGTTGACGGTAGCGATGCGGACCAGCCATCTGGGGAGATGTGTCCTGTTGGAAGCCAGCTTGTCGCAGAAGGCGAGAAACCAGAAGACCAAGCGAGCGCTCAGGAGCAGCATGCCAACGTCAAAGACGAACCTGTTGCGAGCACGGGGAATACGGAACCGTCAAATCGCATGGAAGCTTCTGGGCGAACTGGCGGATTGGAGAGCGAGTCGAAAGGCAACCGGACCAAAGAGACGACGGCGACGGATCAACCGACTGAAGGAGTTGAAGCTTCAGAGGGCGACATGGAAGGAACCAGTGTCAGAACGGCGAAAAAGCCACGTCTTGTGTGGACAGCAGAACTGCACTCTCGCTTTATGAGTGCGGTCAATCACTTGGGGGTCAAGAGTGAGTTTTGCCGGCTTGGGGGTCTTCTGTTCGTAGTATGGCCGTCACGTTATTCGGTTGCTAAATTCCTTCTTTCCTTTTGCAGATGCTGTCCCCACCACAATTTTGAAGCTCATGAATGTCGAAGGCATGACACGGGAAAACGTGGCGAGTCATTTGCAGGTTCGTGCCTGCAGTGGGTCTTCCACAAATCAAATCTTGGAGATTGGAACTGGCTCTGAAGGCTAATATCCGCACGTTTTCCTCTGGTGGTTGCAGAAATACCGTCTGTATTTGAAGAGGATGGCTGGACTTCCGCCTGGAGCTCGGTTGCCTCCAGATTTCATGGTGTTTCAAGGGCCAAGCCATCACGGAGCACTGCATGCGAACTCTTCAGTGGGTGGCGCTGGTCCAATGTACATGCAACCTGCATCTTACAACGGATCACACCCGACCATGGTTGTGTCTGGAGCTCCAGCCGGGTATCCTACATCAAGTGCAATGTATCCTGGGACCATTGCCATGCGTCCCACAGCAGCTATGGCCAGCACCTCCCCCATCCAGCAAGTAATGCATCTGTCGGTTCTGCTCTTGCGTTTTTGTTATCACAGCGTTTGTTGAACCTTCTGACCTTATTTCCTTCTTTTTCGTCCAGGCATCATGTCTTCCACGAATGGTCATGACAACTGCCTCACCTTCGGCAATGCACACAATGCTCTCTGGGTCATCACAGTTTGCATCCTTCTCGCCTGGGACGTCTCCACCAACACACCGACCGCACTCCATGGCACTCAACTCTCTTCATCCTGGATCTACTGCTGTGGGGATTCCAGTGTCCTCTGGACCAGTGGTTCCTGGATACCCTCCTGGATCTGTTCCTATGGCAACAGGGGCGTCTCCACTCCAGCCGAGACCACCATCCATGGCCATGCCTCACTCCCCTTATTCTATGGGAATTTCTCCAGTTCAATCCTATCCGCCCGGCTCCTGGGCCCATGTTGCTACAAGCATGGGCTACCGTCCATCCACTGGGCCTGGCTCAACAATACCCATCGGTGTTCCTGCTGGTGGGAGCATGGTGGCGCAGTCTTCTAGCATGCAGCCAGCATTCGGCCATCAACAGACATCAATGTGGAACCCCATGTCGTCCCACGGGACTGTTATGGGCTCTCCGGCTACCAGCATGGCGGTTCCTGTGGGCACACTTCACCATTCAGTCTCCATGCCTCAGCTGCCGGTTACCTCAACGGGCCACCCTGCTGGTCAAGATGCGAATGGAAACGGGCAGCTCTCCGTTTTGTCGCTTCCTCCTCCGCATGTCATGATGGGATATGCAGAGCAGCACTCCTCCTGGCCTATGGCTGCTACTGGTGCATCTGCTCCGTTTGTGACGCTGTCAGACCTTGAAGCTTGTCCCTCGGGGCAGGGAAGCCAATTTGCCGATACAACAGTGAGTGGCACTGATGACGAAGGCGGCACTGCTGCCACAACAATAGCAGAGAATGAAGAGGCTGCGCTTGCCCTACCATCTCACGAAGAAGGGGGTCTGGATCTAGAGCCTACGTGGCCTCAAGAATGGGAGCAAGACTGGAAAATCTTGGGGTGATAAGTGCCTGTTTGTCAGGATATTTGTGCATATTTTTTGACATGTAATGCTTGCCTTGTGGATGTAATGGTGTAGCCGCTAAATGGCTTCAGAGTAGTAGTTCTCTGACACCATGTTCAGTGTGGGAGGTTTGCCAGTGCTACTTGAACTACACCCACAGCACCCTTTCTCAACCTCCGCAACCCGCAGGCAACTCCCTTCGTGCTGTTTTGCTTGCTTCGATACATTTGGCGTGCCGTCATTTGCTGCTGCTGTCAAAACCAACTGCCACAGACTACAACTGTACCAACCAGCCTCCAATTTCAAACAACTGATCAAACCATTCTCAAGTGTGGCTCCTAGCTGACGTCAGGCAGCCTTCTTTCTCTGCTCATGTGACATTTCTCCCAGTCATGGTCCTGCGTTGGGACCCAGAATTTCACTGAGCGTAGTAACTGTCCTCACGTTGTGCGGATTTTTATCGACCGCCGAATATTTGCTGGCGTCTCGGGAGTTTTTCTGTCAGGACTGGCCGATGCGCCTCTCGTCGGAATAGGATTAGACCTAAAGCTGACGTGGACGTGACCAAGCCTTATTCCCCTAGACTATGGCTAACTCAGCCATTCTCGCTCGAAGCAACGTTCCCACTCTATCAGGCGCTTATGCAGAACGAGCAGTTGGCAGAGCCACGGCATCATGGCTACCCTCACGCGACAACAGGACACCTCCCCGCGGCTTCTCCTCTCCACGGCATCCAGAGCACTGCGTACCACTCTCGCTCCACCACGGTAAACCGTTCCAATGTGACAATATCGAATCGGTTCGACCGATAAGCCGAATCGTGACTGCAGCGAGCGCTGCTGCTTCCGCTCCAGTGTCAGAGCCAAATAAAGGAAACCCCTTTTCAGCGCTGATCGATTTCTTCTCCTCCATCTGGGAGGAATACATCGTCAGCCCGCTCGGGAATTTTGGATTCGGAAAAAAGAGCATCTGGGAAGGTGGTGTCGGTCTATTTCTCCTGACGGGACTCTTCTTAATCGGCCTGACTATCAACTGGATCAAAGGCGTTCAAGTACGGACCAGCACGACGCGGTACAAAGCGGTGATGGAATTCACCCAAGCCTGCGGAATCACGGTCGGCACCCCAGTTCGGATCCGAGGCGTGGACGTGGGCAGCGTGATCGGGGTTCGGCCGAGCCTGGAGCGGATCGACGCTGTCGTCGAAATCCTGGACTCCAACGTCGTCATCCCGCGAAACTCGCTGATCGAAGTCAACCAGACGGGCCTGATCAGCGAAACCCTCATCGACATCACTCCCATGCCTCCCATGCCGGAACCCACCGTGGGGCCGCTAGACCCCAAGTGCAGCGACGAGGGGCTGATCGTGTGTGACCGGGAGCGGATAGAGGGGCAGCAGGGCGTGAGCCTGGACGAGCTGATCGCGAATTGGACCAAGCTTGCTAAGGAGGTGGATAAGGAGGGAGTGGGGACCATGTTCGCTGCTCTAGATAAGTTCGCTGCTCTGGCGGAAGAAGCAAGGCCGCTGCTGGAGAAGGCAAGTTGTTTTTGTCTTAACCTTAACGCCATGCTGCCAGATTTCAAACCCCCTTGCTCACTAAGTCCTCGTTCCCCCACCTCCCCACATGTCAGTTTCACCTCTAGCTGGTGAACCGTAGCCATCATGTGAAACATCTGATAATGTTTCATGGAGAAACTGACGTCATTTTTAGTAGACCCACCTGCACCTAGGGCTGACTCTTCCCAACCACTCCGCTCACTCTGCAATGCGTTTTTCCATCTGTGCTGATTTTTTTTTTCTTTTAACTCAAATCGCCTTTTTGAGTCGCAAAAAAAAAGACGAGTAAAGAAGAACACTCTTCTTTCTCCCCCCCCGATTTTACTCCGCTTCTCCCTCAACTGAATGCTTCGATGACAAACATCCAGGTGTTAACATGACATATAACTCACCTTTTTCCCATCGATATTCATGAAACTCCATGTACACTTTCACTGATTTTCCGTTTCTCTTTCAGGTGAACGAGCTGATGACGGACATCGAGCCCATGCTGCAGGACGTGAGGGAGGGCGACCTCCTGAAGAACGTCGAGCAGCTCACCAAGGTGGCCTCTGAAGCTGCTACCGACCTCAGGCAAGTGGCAGGCTGCTGCATGCATGTGCGTTTGCTGCGTGTGAGTGGTTTGAGGCGCCTCAAAACAGTCTTGACGAACCTCGAGCAGCTCACCAAGGTGGCCTCTGAAACTGCCACTGACCTCAGGCTAGTGCCGTGCTGCCTTTTTCATGTATGTCTTGCTGTAGGTGCCTTTGCTGTTATGCCTTTGCTGTTATGCCTTTGCTGCATGTGCTTCCCTTTTTAGGGGGAGAGGAAAATGGAGAGCGGGGGAACTGGAAGAGAAGGGTGGCGGGGAAAGGAGGGGGAGCAGGTGTTGGGAGGGAAGGGAAAGCGGGGCGATTGTAAGCCTCTTGAGCAGAGAAGTCCCGCAGGGAGACCTTGTGCCAAAGGGGGACATTGATCGCTGCATTTTTGCAGGCTTGATGGCGTCCTGCTGTTTTCACTCATCACTCCATCCGCCCGACTTTCCCCCGCGTCTTGCCCCCACGTGCAGCTGAACAGCTCGATTTTGACCAAGGAGAACATGGAGCTGCTGCGGCCTTGCTGACTGGACACTAGCATGCTCCATGCAGTCTATTCCCCCACTCTCTCCCCTACGTCCCAGCGTCTCTCCCCCACAGGCAGCTGAACGGTTCCAATCGGACCAAGGGGAATGCAGAGTTGCTGCCTTGCTCTGTTTCGCCCCCCTCTCCCCTCCCTTTCACTGCTCTCCGTAGTCTGCTTAGTCACTCTCCCTCCACCATTCTCCCCTGCGTCTCCCCCCCGCAGGCAGCTGAACAGCTCCATTCTGACCAAGGAGAACACGGAGCTGCTGCGGCAGTCCGTGTCCACCCTCACCAAGACGCTCAAGCACGTGGAGGTGTGTGGCTGGGTGCCTCTGTGTGTGTGTGCTTCTTGTGTCTGCCTCTGTGTGTGTGTGCTTCTTGTGTCTGCCTCTGTGTGTGTGTGCTTCTTGTGTCTGCCTCTGTGTGTGTGTGCTTCTTGTGTCTGCCTCTGTGTGTGTGTGCTTCTTGAGTCTGCCTCTGTGTGTGTGTGCTTCTTGTGTCTGCCTCTGTGAGGATGTGCTTCTTGTGTCTGCCTCTGTGTGTGTGTGCTTCTTGTGTCTGCCTCTGTGTGTGTGTGCTGCCTCTGTGTGTGTGCTTCTTGTGTCTGCCTCTGTGCGTGTGTGCTTCTTGTGTCTGCCTCTGTGTGTGTGTGCTGCCTCTGTGTGTGTGTGCTGCCTCTGTGTGTGTGCTTCTTGTGTCTGCCTCTGTGTGTGTGTGCTTCTTGTGTCTGCCTCTGTGTGTGTGCGCTTCTTGTGTCTGCCTCTGTGTGTGTGTGCTTCTTGTGTCTGCCCGAGTGTGTGTGTGTGTGTGTGTGTGTGTGTGTGTGTGTGTGTGTGTGTGCGTGCCTGCGTGCGCGTGTGTGTGTGCTTCGTGTGTCTGTGTCCACCCTCACCAAGACGCTCAAGCACGTGGAGGTGTGTGGCTGTGTGCCCCGAGTCTGTGTGTGACTGAGTCTGTGTGGACTGTGTGTGTGAGTGTGTGTGTGTGTGTCCGTGTGTCTGTCTGTGTCCACTCTCCCTCAGACGCTCAAGCCGCGTTGCTGTGCCTCTCTCTGTTGCTTGTACTGGCTTGTGCTGGCGTGTGCTGGCGTGTACTGGCGTGTGCTGGCGTGTGCTCGCTTGTGTTTGCTTATCTCAACTCTCAGCAAGGCACTCTCAAGCATGTGGAGGAGCGTTGGTGTGGTGTTTTTCTCTCTCCATGTGGGCATGCGTTTGTGTGCGTCCATTCTCGTCAATGCTCTCTAGCAGAGTGGGAAGAATACGGGAAGGGGGCTTGAGGGGAAGGGAAGAAAGAGTGGGCGATAGGTATATTGACAGGTGGACGAAGCAAGACATTTAGAGAACAATGGAGCAGAGTAAGGGAGTAACTGGCAGGTGGGTGTTGACTGGGCTGTAAGCAGGCTCACACTTCACCAAACAAGCTCACCCCTCCCCCCACACCCTGCTTCCTTGGTCGCTCTCCCCCTTCCTTCTCCCTCTCGCGCTCGACCTTGCACTCATTGCTGTGTGGCAGGGCATCAGTGCTGACATCAGCAGCCTCACGGGCGATCCCAGCACGCGGGACCACCTCAGGCAGATCATTGAGTCGCTCAGCCGCCTCGTGGCTGACTAGCCACTCATTGCTTCGGCTGGTGGCAGAGTAGGCACGCACACAGTGCTTGTGGCAGGCCTGCTTCCGATTCGGCTCAGAACCACCTCAGGCATATCATCGAGTCCCTCAGCTGCCTTGTGGCCGACTAGGTGCGGGTGGCACATGGTAGGCACGGGTGATGCGTGGCCGACTAGGCACAGATGGCTTGTGTTGTGACGGACTAGGCACACCTGCTGTGGCAGACTGAGCCGATTAAAGCCCCAGTACACACCTTCAAGTAGTGGCCTGGCCAACCAATCCCTCGGATGGCTTGTGCCTGAATTGTAGGTACTTCAGGATTCGCATTGTGGCTCACAAGTACAGCACCTGTACACACACAAGAGCTCACTGTCCAACATGCACGAGTGCTAACCTGGCAACCGTGTGCCTCATAGCCGGGGTATAGCCCCCTGTCGAAGTTAAGGAATGCTAGGAACGGTAGGCTGCCACGGAATGGCGCGAGGGTTTAGCTAGGAGAGGAAGTTGACGAGAGAAAAGAGGTATAGAATAGAAGAGAGTGTCAACTTATACATATTATCTATGTAGAAGTTATAGGCTAGACTGAGGTATGCTTCTAGTGAGTACAACCAACTAGTATTTGTTCTAGGTTTCCACCTCTTGTAATCATTCGTTTCTACGTTAACATGGTATCACGCTTAGGTTAGGATCCCCCCGCCTACCGCTTCCGCCCGTCGCGCCTCCTAGGCCCCGTCGCGCCCCCTAGGCCCCGTCGCGCCCCCCCTGGGCCCCGTCGCGCTCGTTAGGCCCCGTCGCGCCCCCCCTGGGCCCCGTCGTGCCCGCTGGGCCCCGTCGCGCCTCCTAGGCCCCGTCGCGCTCCCCCTGGGCCCCGTCGCGACCCCTAGGCCCTAACGCGCCCCCGCTGGGCCCCGTTGCGCCTCCTAGGCCCCGTCGCGCCCCCCATGGGCCCCGTCGAGCCCGCTGAGCCCCGTCGTGCCTCCTAGGCATCGTCGCGCCTCCTAAGCCCCGTCGCGTCCCCCCCCTCTGGGCCCCGTCGCGCTCGTTCGGCCCCGTCGCGCCCCTCCTAGGCCCCGTCGTGCCCGCTGGGCCCCTCCGCGCTTCCTAGGCCCCGTCGCGCCTGCTAGGCCCCGTCGCGCCCCCCCTGGGCCCCGTCGCGCCCGTTAGGCCCCGTCGCGGCCCCCCTGGGCCCCGTCGTGCCCGCTGGTCCCCGTCGCGCCTCCTCGGCCCCGTCGCGCCCCCCCTGGGCCCCGTCGTGCCCGCTGGGCCCCGTCGCGCCCCTTAGGCCCCGTCGCGCCCGCTGGCCCCTGTCGCGCCTGCTGTTAGCGCTCGCCCGCCTGGCCTCCTCCTAGTGCCGCTCGGCCTCCTCCTAGTGCCGCCCGGCCTCCTCCTAGTGCCGCCCGGCCTCCTCCTAGTGCCGCCCGGCCCCTTCCTAGCGCCGCCCGGCCTCTCCTCAGCGCTGCCCGGCCCCTCCTCGTGCCCGACCGGCCCTAGCAGCACCAGCCTGGCCCCTCCCAGCACCAGCCCGGCCCTAGAGCACCTGCCCGCCTCCCCTGCTCGGCCTGCCGTGTCCTCTCGGGCCCTGTGTCTTCTGCTTGCCTGCGCTGGGACGCCTAGCTGCTGCCCTACTGGAGAGTGCTGCCGCCGTGTCCCCGCGCCGCTGTGCTCCTGTGCCGCTGAGGAGCTGTGCTGCTGTGCCGCTGTGTCGCTGAGGAGCTGTGCCGCTGACCCTGCACGATGGCTGACTTTGTGCTCCGCCTGGACGCTGAGGGCCACGCGGTTGACTTCGCCGCCTGGCTCTCCGATCTTCGCCGCCAGCTTACAGGTCAGCGCCAGGATGGCCACTCTCTGGTTGTCCATGCTGATGGCTTGCTCCCCCGTCCCCCTGCACCTACTCCCCTCCCTGCTGACCCCTCCTCTGATGACCGTGAGGCTTTCTCTACTGCTGCGCTAGCCTGTGCGGTCTGGGACTCACGCGATGCAGTAGCTCAGGTTGCTATTAGTCACGCCCTCCCTGTGTCTGAGCGCTCGCGTTTTGCTACTGTTGAAACGGCCAAAGCTTATTTAGAAGCCGTTATTGCTCGCTATTCCACCCCTGCCTCCGCTTCTGCTGGCCGCTTGCTCTTTCCGATGCTGTTCCCAGACCTGGCTGCCTTCCCTACTGTCGCAGATTTTGCCACTCATTTGCGTGCCCTAGAGACTCGCTATCGCACTGCCAGCACTGCTGCCCAGCTCACTGCGCTCCCCCCTCCTTTCTGCATGACGCTCTATTTTATCGCTATGCGCCTGCCAGACCGCCTCGCTAGTGCTCGCGACCACTTTCTTAGCCAGCACCCGGGTGACCTCACCCTGACCGCCTTTGTCGACACCCTCACTGAGATCGAGACTCGCCAGCGCACTATCGCTCAGTCGAGCGGTGCGCCGGCAGTCTCTATCTTTCACGGTTGTGCCCCATCCCCGTGCACGTTCACTGACGTTTCGGCTGCGGTCGCCACGGCGACCCCTCTTACCGAGACGGCTGCTGCTGTCCACCCGCAGCAGCGCTCGCGTCGCGGTGGCCGTGGCCGCCAGGGAGGTAGGGGTGGTGACGCAGGTGGTAGTGGTCATGGTGGTGGTGACGGTAGTCCGCCTGAGGGGACTACCACCGGTGGGCAGGAGCAGCAGTCCCAGCAGCAGCAGGACCAGCCCCAGCCGCAGCCGCCGTCCCAGCAGCACCCGCCGCAGCCGTGGGCTCGTCTCCCGCCTGGTTGGCCCGGCACCTCCGGAGGCGGTGGCCGTGGTGGCGGCCCGCGCAGCTTGGCGTCTACCAGCGGCTCCAGTGCTGTGACCTGCCAGTACCAGCTTCAGACCGGGCCTCTCCGCGGCACTCTGTGCCGCCGCCCGCACCCGACCGCCCACTGTTTCCGCCGCCTCGACGATCTTTTTCGTCGTCGCTTTGGCCCGGCCCCGGACCTCCCTGACTGGCACAGCCTGCTCCGCCAGGGCGTGCCGATCTTTGAGTTAGACATCGATCAGATAGGTGCTGCTTTGCATGCTTTGTATGCTGACGCTTCTAGTGTTGATGGATCTTACTACCATGTGTACTCTAGTTTAGGTGTTTCACCCTTGTGTAGCTTAGCTTCCCCTGCTGCGACAGGCGTAGGACTGCCTAGGTTGCCTAGTCTAGTCGCTGCACCGGCTCCGTCCGCGGCCTCCGCCACTGCGTCGCTGTCCTTCACTCTCGACTCTGGTGCTTCTGCCTGCTTCTTCCGCGACCGTTCCACGCTCACGCCGCTTGCTGCACCTGCTGTTGTCTCTCTTGCTGACCCCTCTGCGGGTCCGGTCGTCGCGCGCAGTTCTACGTCCCTTCCCTGTCCGGCAGTTCCCTCAGGCTCCCTTACTGGCCTCCACGTTCCCTCGTTCTCCAGGAACCTGGTTGGTGTCGGCTGTCTCCAGGACCTCGGCGTCACCACCACGTTCCCCGGGCACGAGCGGTTCGCTGTCTGTTCTGAGGCTGTCTCAGGTTCCCCCCTTGCGACGTTCCCCCGGGACCCGGTGTCCGGTCTGTTTACCCTACACACCGCTTCCCCCCCGGTTGGTGCGTCCTCCCAGGTCGCTGCAGCTTGCTCGTGTCGGTCCCTCACTCACCCCTCCCTTCTCTGGCACCACCGCTTAGGTCACCCTGCTCTCCCGCGTCTGCGTCACATGTCCCAGCACGGTCTTGTCTTAGGTCTCCCCGCGTCGCTCCCTGCCCTTCCTCCCTCGACTGCGCCACCGTGCACGCCTTGCGTCGAGGGTCGGCTCCGCCGTGCTCCTCACTCCTCCTCGCTGCGTCCTGCTACTGCCCCCCTTCAGACCCTGCACTTGGACGTTTGGGGCCCTGCCCCCGTCCCCGGACCGCGCGGTGAGCGCTACTTCCTTGTGCTCGTTGACGACTACACGCGCTACACCACGGTGTTTCCCCTGGAGCGGAAGGCCGACGTGCCCGACGTTCTTCTCCCGTGGGTTGTAGCTGCGCGTCTCCACCGCGGTCTCCCCGTGTTGTGTCTCCACTCCGACCGTGGCGGCGAGTTCGCCTCTGGTCGGCTTGGACAGTTCTGTCGTGCGGAGGGCATCACTCAGTCGTACACCTTGCCGGACTCGCCACAGCAGAATGGGGTTGCTGAGCGCCGCATCGGCTTGGTCATGGAGGTCGCCCGTACCTCCATGATCCATGCCGATGCCCCCCATTTTCTGTGGCCGTTCGCTGTTCGCTACGCGGCTCACCAGCTTAACCTGTGGCCACGCTCCCAGCGGCCGCAGGTTTCGCCGACCCTCCTTTGGACCGGGTCCCCCGGTGACGCGTCTGCGTTCCACGTCTGGGGCTGCCTTGCTCACGTTCGTGCCTCTGGCACGGACAAGCTCACTGCCCGCACTGTCCCCTGTGTCTTCCTCGGTTTCCCCCTGGACTCGTCTGACTGGCTTTTCTACCACCCGCCGTCTCACCGCTTCCTCCACTCTCGTGACGTCACCTTTGACGAGTCCGTCTCCTTCTACCGCCGCTTCCCTCACCGAGGTCTCCCAGTTGCCCCCCCCTTTTCCTTGCTCCCTCTCCCCCGGTAGCCCCTGCCCCTCTCCCGCCTCGTCCTGCCCCGTCTGGTGTCTCTCACGTCACTCCCCTCCCGTCGGTTGTCCCCGTTGAGGAGTCTGCTGACTCTGGTGGTACCCCCGGTCCGTCCTTGCCGCGTCCACCTTCCCCAGTGCCTCCGCCCCCACTGTCGCAGTCGCCGACCCCGCTGCCGCCGCCGTCGCCGTCGCCGCCGCAGCCGTCGCCGCTGTCGCCGCCACTGCCGCCGCTGCTCTCGGCCCCTGGGGGTGCTGGTGTGGAGGAGGGTGTTCGTCCTGCGGCTTCTGGGGGTGCCGCTGGTGTTGGAGGGGGTTCTCGCTCTTGGGGTGTTGGTTCTGGGGGTGCTGCTGTTGAGTGTTCTGCCGACGGTCGTTCTGCCTCTGGTGGTCCGAGAGTTCCGGCCCAGCCGTCGTCGCCGCCACAGCAGCCGTCGCCGCCGGTTTCCGCTCTCCGCCTGCTCGGCCTTCCCTCCCCGGACCGCGCGCCGGTGTCTCCCCCACCGCCTCCTGACCTCCCTGTCTACGGTCCTGTGTTCCCGCCGCCAGACTCGTCTCCGGCCCGTCTTCCTCCTCGTTCCCCTCCTGTGTCTCCTCCGCTGTCCCCTGACCCTACCCCTCCGTCTCACGTTTGGGCTCGCCGTCCCTCCCGTGCTCGTCCCGTCTCTCCTGTCCTGCCCACCCACCCTATGTTGCTCCGTTCCCACTCGTCTCGTCCTCCCCTCCTCCCGTCCCCTCCTCCCTCGTCCCTTGCTGTTGCACCTCCTCCGTTCTCTGACTACCTCCGTGCTGCTCGTCCCCTTGTCCCTCGGGTCCTTGCCTCTCTTGTTACCGACCCTGCTGTTCCTGTCTCGCGCCTTGACGCGCTTGTCGCTGCTGTCGCTGACTTCGCTTCTACCCGCCGCCTTGACTACGCTACCGCTCTGGTCTCTGACCCTGCCCGTCCTCTGTCCGTCGGGGGTGCTCCTGCCCTTGGCAGTGACGTCCTAGAGGACAGGCAGTACGAGCTGGCTTTCCTTTCCGAGGCTGCTCCCCATCTCTGCTCCATGCTGTTAGTCCCTGAGGGTGACCCAGACGCCTTCGACATCCCGACCCCTCGCACCTACGCTGAGGCCACCTCGGGACCTTGGGCCTCTCAGTGGATAGCTGCCATGGAGCAGGAGATGGCATCTTGGAGATCCACCGGCACTTACGTCGACGCAGTTCCCCCGCCTGGGGTGAACGTAGTCGATGGTCGGTGGCTCTTCAAGGTGAAGCGCCCCCCTGGAGAGCCACCTGTCTTCAAGGCGCGCTACGTGGCCAGAGGTTTCAGTCAGCGCGAGGGGGTTGACTTCTTCCAGACCTTCGCCCCGACCCCGAAGATGACCACTCTTCGGGCGCTGCTACACGTAGCAGCACAGCGTGACTACGAGCTTCACTCCCTCGACTTCTCTACTGCCTTTCTTCAGGGCAGCCTACACGAGCAGGTCTACCTGCGCCGACCACAGGGCTTCACTGGTACCTTCCCTCCTGGGACCCAGTGGCTTCTCAGGCGCCCGGTCTACGGCCTGCGTCAGGCTCCCCGCGAGTGGCACGACACGCTACGTGCCACGTTAGCAGACCTGCAGTTCTTTCCGTCCTCTGCTGACCCTTCACTGTTTGTGCGTTCCGGCCAGACTCCGTTCTACATCCTTGTCTACGTAGACGACCTGGTCTTCGCTACTCCTGACAGGGACGCACTGGCCTCTGTGAAGGCTGAGCTGCTGAAGAGACACACCTGCACTGACCTTGGAGAGATGCGTCGCTATCTTGGCCTGCAGATCTCTAGGGACAGAGCAGCACGCACCATCACTCTGACCCAGTCACACTTGGTGCGTCAGGTCCTTCAGAGGTTCGGTCTTCAGTTCTCCTCCGCACAGCCCACACCTCTACCCGTAGACCATGGGCTCTCTGCTCCCGTTCCTGAGGAGCCAGTAGAGCCCAGTGGCCCCTACGCAGAGCTGGTGGGTTGCCTCATGTACCTGATGACTTGCACTCGCCCAGATCTCGCATACCCTCTCAGCATCCTGGCTCGCTTTGTGGCTACAGGCAGACACCGACCTCAGCACTGGTCTGCCGCTAAGAGGGTTTTGCGTTATCTTGCTAGTACATCAGGCATGGGGTTAGTGCTAGGAGGACGCAGGCCAGTGGTCCTTACTGGGCACACAGACGCTTCTTGGGCAGACGACGCTGAGACGCTCAGGTCGTCGCAGGGCTACTGTTTCAGCCTTGGTTCGGGTGCTATCTCTTGGAGATCCACTCGCTCGTCGTCTGTGGCTCAGTCTAGCTGTGAGGCTGAGATCTACGCTGGTGCCATGGCGGCACAGGAGCTCCGCTGGCTGACCTTCTTGCTCACAGACTTAGGTGAGCGGCCTAGCTCTGCCCCGGTCCTGTACGCTGACAACAGGGCCATGATACTCCTGTGTCAGGAGCCTCGGCTTGAGGGCAGAGCGAAGCATATCCAGCTGCGGTACTTCCTCCTGCGCGAGCTACAGCAGCGCCGCCAGGCCCGCGTAGTTCACTTGGCCTCAGGTGCCAACACAGCTGATATCTTTACTAAGGCGCTTGCGCCTAAAGATCATCAGCGGCACTGTGTACAGCTTGGTCTTGTTCCTATAGCTGCTCCCCTGTTAGGATCCTGATTGTGTACTCTCTATTATATATGCCTGTCAGACTGGCCTTGTGGCCTTACCTCCAGTGGCTGGACTAGTAGTGCCACCCTGGCTTGCTTCAGTTTTGGTTGTATTCTTGCTGACTGGTCTCCAGACCCCTGCCTCAGTGGTTGGACTAGTAGTGCCGCCCTGAGCTGTTTGCTTCTTGTTTAGTTTCACCCCTTGTCTAGCCTAGGGGGTGTGTCAACTTATACATATTATCTATGTAGAAGTTATAGGCTAGACTGAGGTATGCTTCTAGTGAGTACAACCAACTAGTATTTGTTCTAGGTTTCCACCTCTTGTAATCATTCGTTTCTACGTTAACAGAGAGGGATACAAGGAGGGGGGGTTGTACCCTCTACAGTAGGTTTCAGTAACACCTACCAAGCCTACCAATTATATATCAAAAATATAATTTAACACCCCCCCCCCTATGCTCCTACCGACTGTGCTAGTAGTTCTGCTGGCTCTGCTATGCACTGGATAGATAAGCTGCTATCACCTGCACCACTCACTCACCTACACTCACTGTGATTCACTCACACTGTAATGTAGTTGTGCACCAGGCTGGGACCCAGGGGTTCTCCCATTCAGCTGGCAGCAGGTTCCTTAGTATACCCAATACCGTAATTGAATCCTCCAATCAAGCACAAGGCATTTATTGGCTGACAACAACAACCACCTTATTTAATCATCGTGGTTGCTTCTGAAAGTCAGCCTTATTATTCCTCGTGGCTCCTCCAACCAGAGAAGCGTACCCTTCTACTAGACAGCCCTTTAAAGCCCATCCATCCAGGGCTCATCATATTTTTGGCTGCCCGATGAAAGTGTCAATTGATGACCTCACATCCCTCTCTTCTCGCATGCGGAAAATGTCGCTTGAAAATGTTGACCTGGGTGTACCGATGAAGTACCGGGCAGCTGCACAAATGTTTTTCTCTGCTATGGCCCGTAGAATGCCGCTCTCGTGCGAGTCTCTTTCCTGGAAGCTTCGCATCCAGGGGAACTGCTGGTACTCTGAAGAGCCTTTATGGAAGGTGGGAAGGCGGACGAGGATGAGTGGGTTTGGAGGGTCCAACTCTGGTGGTGGTAAGAAAAGAAGGGGGGGGGGGAATAGGGAAAGGGGGTTATGGACATTGAGCTTGTGTCCAAGCAGAAACTTCAAGGCAGTCAGATTCAAATCTAGTATTGTTATAGTATTAGTAGACACTATAAGACAATGTTGTATGTTATGGGTATTATATGCCTCACCTAGCAGCAGCTTCTCCAGCAGTTGGATCTCAGAGGGGCTGGCATCAGTGGCAAGGTACACAGCAGAGACACCCGTGCCCCTCAGCCGCCCCACTATGAACTGCGCCACAGACACCACCGGCAGGTACGCTGGGTTGCGGCTGTCCTTGTTTGTGTCGATGTAAGACGCAAAGTCGGACCTGAGTGGAGGGAGGAGGGGACGAAGGGGCTTGCTTTGGGTCTAAGGCGAGCCTCTATAAACTGAGCCAGTTTCACCACTGCCAGGTACGCTGGATTGCGGCTGTCCTTGTCCGTATCAATGGAAGTTGCAGAGTCAGACCTGCACGGGACAGGGAGGGGAGACAAGAGCGGAAGAAGAGGCTTGCTTTGAGTCTCAGGAGGGGAAGAAGAGGCTTGCTTTGAGTGAACTGCGCCACTGACACCACTGGCAGGTACGCTGGACTGTGGATGCCCTTGTCCGTGCCAGTGAAAGTCGCAGAGTCGGATCTATAAGGTGGTGAAGGGACTAGGAAATAAAGATTTGGGGAGTGGAAAGAGCGACAGAAAGGAAGCACGGTGAGGAGAACGAGGACAGCTAGACTGGTAAGTGAAGGACTGGCAAGTGAAGGAGTGGCAAGTGAAGGGCTCGGGACGTGGTAAGCGAGAAGCACTGCTGCCTCCCCCTCCTCTTTCATCTTACTTGTTCTCACCTCAGCCCTCTCACCTCCCCCCTCTCACCTCCCCCCTCTCACCTCCCCCCTCTCACCTCCCCACTCTCACCTCCCCCCTCTCATCTCCCCCCTCTCACCTCCCCCCTCTCACCTCCCCCCTCTCACCTCCCCCCTCTCACCTCCCCCCTCTCACCTCCCCCCTCTCACCTCCCCCCTCTCACCTCCCCCCTCTCACCTCCCCCTTCTCACATCCCCCCTCTCACCTCCTCAGGTGCACGGCAGCAAAGTCCTTCCCCAGAAAAGTATCAATGAACCCGTTGACGAATCCGCGCACGACACGTGGCGGCGCCCACAGGTCCCGGCACTGTTCATCCTCGGGCAGCTTGAAGGGCAGAACGTGCGAAACGAGCTCCTTTGGGCAGCCGTGCATGCCCACACCGTACAAATTCCCGAGGCTCAAAATTCTTGTCTCGGCGTAGGGGGAGAGTGCGGAGAGCAGCATTGGGAGGGGCGGATTGGGGCCGTCTGTGCGGTCGAAGGACAGGTTGGCCGTGGGGTGGAGGAGAGAGGAGGGGAGGGTAACGTAGGGAATGCGGTTAGGGCCCTGGGGGGGTGAGAGGGGGGAAAGGGGAGAGAGAAAAGGGTGAGTGGGGGGGAGGGGAGAGAGAAAAGGGTGAGTGGGGGGGAGGGGAGAGAGAAAAGGGTGAGTGGGGGGGAGGGGAGAGAGAAAAGGGTGAGTGGGGGGGAGGGGAGAGAGAAAAGGGTGAGTGGGGGGAGGGGAGAGAGAAAAGGGTGAGTGGGGGGAGGGGAGAGAGAAAAGGGTGAGTGGGGGGGAGGGGAGAGAGAAAGGGTTGAGTGGGGAACAGTTGGAAGGGGGAGGATGGGGTGAAAGGAAAGGACAGGGAGGGTCGGCGAGGGAAGGAGAGGGAAGGGGGCGGAAGGGGAGACATGAGAAGGAGAAAGAGAAGGTAGCGTAGCCAGAGGGAGGGACTACTCATGAATGAAGTACCTTTGAACTACCATGAATGAAGTACCTTTGAACTACCATGAATGAAGTACCTTTGAACCACCATGAATGAAGTACCTTTGAACTACCATGAATGAAGTACCTTTGAACTACCATGAATGAAGTACCTTTGAACTACCATGAATGAAGTACCTTTGAACTACCATGAATGAAGTACCTTTGAACTACCATGAATGAAGTACCTTTGAACTACCATGAATGAAGTACCTTTGAACTACCATGAATGAAGTACCTTTTCGAACCATCAACACTCGAAACAGCCAAACAGCGCCACACTAACTACCAAGCTACCACTTACCATCTCCGATTCGTCCACGCAAGCCCGTTGCGCACACGCCATCACATCCACGCTCACATTCCGCCGCTCCCTTCCCACCACCTCCCCCACCATCTCCACCGCTCTCGACCCATACCCCGGCTCCAAGCACCCCTTGAGCCGCTCAAAATCCACCACGTCAGCCCATTGCCACGTGTATGTGTCGATCCAGTGGTGCGCGAAGCCCTGGTCCGGCACCAGCAGCGTGCGGTTGAGCAGCGCGGCGAATACTAAGTAGTTGCGCAAGCAGGCTTCTTGGTTGGACAGTCGCCCGTAGTAGCACAGCGCGAGGAGATACCGGTCCGGGCGGGGGCGCCAAGCTGCTAAGACGTTAGTACCGGTATCACTGTTACCACCGGCACCACCAGCACCACCAGTACCACCGGCACCACCAGCACCACCAGTACCACCGGCACCACCAGCACCACCAGTACCACCGGCACCACCAGCACCACCAGTACCACCAGCACCACCAGTACCACCAGTACCACCGGCAGCATCAGTACTGCCATTATTATTGGTAACACCAGTGGTGCATTCGACGGGAACTTCTGCAACCTCTCGTCTTGCAGGCGCTTCTTTAAAGCCCGAAGTCGCAGGCTGCGCCACCAGAGGCCCAGGTTTAGTGATATCACTAGTAGTACTAGTACTACTAATTGTAGTAGCAGCTGTATGTGTAGGGTTGTTTTGGAGGATGCGGCGGGGAGCTGCGACGGATAGCAACGGGGAATGCTGTAACGAGGACGGGGAGAGGAGGGCAGCGAGGACGAGAGCAAGCTGTAGGAGGACGGCTGCCATATCGAGGGTCGGGACTCCTGGGAACGATTTTTGAGTCCCGACACTCAAAAAAGACTCCCAGGAACGCGCTTTAAGCCGAGCGGGTGTCAAGTTGTTCGTACAAGACAAGGCGCTTGAGGGGTGGAGCTCCGGGCGCAGCAGCCAGGTGCTAAGAGACCGGAGGGCGATGCCAGGTGCTAACTTCTAAGAGACCGGAGGGCGATGCCAGGTGACGCTCAGTGAGTCAGTGACTGACTGAAAGGTGCTCTGGCGAGGTGCGGCTCAGTTATTAAAGGATACCTGCTAAGAAGAAAACAAGCATGAGGCTGAGGCTCGAGGCATTGACCAGGGGGTGGTGCTCGAGGCTGAGCTCCCTAGAAAATCAGGCTTCCCCTGGTAGGGAAGGCTGGAAGGGGGCTGAGCGGAGCGGTATAGGTGAGGGAAGATGGGCAGGGGCGACGCTCGCCCTAGAATGTGGCGGGTTGGCGCGCTGAGGAGTACGGCTAGAGTCCGGCTTGGTCCTAGGTTAGAACCTATCTGCGGCTAATAAGAGACGAGAAGGAGTACTTCTTGTACGCCTTCTCTGCAATGCGGTTCTGCGGCGGCTCTCGCGGGGGGCCGCGGTCGCGTGACTTGTACGGATTCCGGAAGGCAAACCCCCCGGTCGCCCCTGCGCGGCCTGCTGCGCCAGGCGGCTGGCGCTGCGCCATGCTGCCCCTCGAAATGGCATGCGATGACCACGACCATGGCATGCACTGAGTCTATTTTTGAGGCGCCTCAAAAATGGACTCCTCGGCCATGAAATGGCATGAGATGATCATGACCATGGCATGATCATGGTCACCCTAGACCATGGTCCCCCTAGACCATGGTCACCCTAGACCATGGTCCCCCTAGACCATGGTCACCCTAGACCATGGTCACCCTAGACGATGGCATGCACTGAGTGAGAAGGTGAAAGGCGCCTCAAAAGCCATCATCATCTCTCAGTGAGCGGTCAAAGGCGCAGCCAAACCACAGAGAAGGTTTCGCGCGGCACGCGAACCACATGCTTCGGCGTCTAGCTTGGCGGAAAGGGCAGGGAGATTGGAGACGGCACCGTGACGGCACGCCGCGGCCCGTGCCACACTGTGGGGATTTTTTCACCACGGATCGCTCGCACCGCATGTTGTTTACCTGCCAGCCAGCGGGCCACGTGGGTGCGACGCGCGCATCAGTGAATGAAACCCGACAGCTCACTTTACGATCACAGCGGATTGGCTTATCTCGCGCTCTATGCTGTGCTATCTGATAGGCGAATACGACTGGCTTGTGCCCCCCAGCCCAACCTGCAGGGGCTTGCGGACTGCAGCTGTGCTTGCCAGGCTGGTGGCAAGGGGGAGTATGGGGAAGTGTGGCTCCCTGTGGTTCCCGTTAAAAGCAGAAAATGCTGTATGCTGGGAGGTATAATAGTGACTACATGAACCATGTGTATAAGGGAAAGGTAGCATTTGCGAATGATAGTGCATGTGACCCGGAAACAAAGTTGATAGCTTTTCCATATTTAGAAATTACGAGCACATGATGGAAAATACCGCCGCATAGGTAAACGCAAGTGAATGTATAAGGGAGATGTCGTAGAAGCGGTCGACGAAATTTTCCGACTCCCGCCTTGTCATGTCAAGCTTCCCCCACCCGCCTGCCTGTTCCAGTCGGGCTAATCAGTCGCCAGGCGATCATCAGTATATGTCGTCCACCGAAATGCCAATCGCACAGCCCCTGAAAGGAGGGTCAACCAGTCGCATGATCGTCGTCAGTTGCACCTCCCCTGGCTTTAGCTGTCCACCTTCTAGTAACTTTCAGTTCGCCTTTCCCCTCAATGGCCCAATCGGCCTTGCTCAGCCGAACGGCCATCTCGCCCTGACACACGCAGCCGACAAGCATTCTGTCGCAGGCGAGTCGAAGTATTCGTTCTGCCCTTCTTACATCGCCAACGACCCCCCTGACGACTCGCTCACGAGGGGAGCTTTGACCTCATTGGCCAACCTCGCCAACGAATTTCGAGGAAAGTGTGTTCTGAGGGTTGCGATGATCAGCGAATCGCGCTTCTGCGACAATGTGCGTTCCGGCAATTTGCGTCCGCAATGCGTACATTGAAGGATGCGGCTCGCAAATGCGTACCTGCTCTGATTTCTGGGACAAACTGCATGCAAGCAAGCAAGCCAACCTCTCTCTCGCCTCCTGTCCCCCAATTATCTGTCACCCTCGGCATGCCCCGCTACTCATACTCGCTCCTCGATTGTCTCCTTTTCTAAGAAACCGGCATGCACCTCACGGACCGCGCGTCGGCCCATGCTGTCCGGCGCAGGGAGCGACATAAAGAGTTCACATTCCCACTCTGTCGATAATTCGACTGGGCAAGAAGAGCTCGACCGCTTAGCTTCCTTTACCAAATCGAATAGACCACGCGACCAGGCGTATATCGTCTTGCCTAGTAGTAAAAGTTGTAGAGCTGCATCTCACAAACGAGAGGAAGAATGACGAGACGCACACTACTTGTGCTGCTAGCTACACTTGTGGCATCATGTAAGTCTGGAGGACGTCGTTAGCAAGTAGAATTGTCTTGCTAGTCAAGTACGTTTCTAATTACCCGCGATTCGGAATGGTGGGATTGGACTGGAATCTAACTTCTCATAATGTCATGTGTCTCTCCCTATCTCGACTTGTCTCTTGCTTCAGGTGTCACAATCAGCGCGCAACAACCACAACAACCTCCGCTACCCACCGGAGTCTCCACGCAGCACTCTCACCAGCACCCGCAGCCTCGACCACTAACCCCTTCTCAAAAGCGCGCGCTTTCTCAGCTGCGCCTCCGCGCTCCCCGAGCCGCCAAAATCATCCTCAACCGCCTCAAGAGTCGCCAGCCCCCATTCACGGCTGTCGCCCAAGAATCGTACGAAATCGCCAGCTCCCTCCAGCTCGCGGCCTCCCGCGCGCTTTCCTGGCTACAACCAAACCCTTCCGCCGATTCCTCCCCGCAATCCCCCCGCGACCCCTCCCTCCTCTCCCGCTTCCTTTCCGCCATGCGCCCCGCGGGCCTCACCGCCGGCGCAAGCAACCGCCGCGCTCTGGTCCAGAACCCCAAGGCGGGCCATCACTTCTTGAAAGGCGGGCACCACGGGCTGAAAGGGGGGCACCACGGGCTCTCAGGGGGGCACCACGGGCTGACAGGCGGGCATCACGGCCTGAAAGGCGGGCATCACGGGGTGAAGGGGGGCCATCACGGGCCGGGCGGCGGGCACCACGGCAAGGAGAAGTGGCTGAGGATGCAGGTGAAGCGCCCCGCAAAGGACGGGCTCAAGATCGGGTCGACTAAAAGCGCGGGCGATTCCAACGGCGCGCTGTCGGGAGATTTCGGGTCGGGGTCCGGGTCGGGGTCGGGGTCGAATTACGGGTCGGGATCGGGTTCGAACTCCGGGTCGGACGTTTCGTCGACTTTCTCCGTGACGGAATTCGGCGCGGACGGCGGCGGCTCGAGCGACGCCTCCAAAGCCTTCGCGGCCGCATTCGCCGCGGCGTGCAAGGAAGCGTCGTCGTCCGACAAAAAAACCGGCATCGTAATCCCCTCGGGAAGAACCTTCCTCGTGAAGCCTGTCGTGTTCGAGGGGCCGTGCGGGCCGGGCGTGCAGTTCAGACTCGACGGCACCGTCGTGGGACCGTCGGACCCGGGGCAATACAACAACCCCGGGTCGGGCACGTACGGCATACTGAACTTCCGCGGGATCCCGGGGCTGGAGGTCGTGGGCGGCGGGCTGGTGAACGGGAATGCGGAGGAGTGGTGGAAGAAGGGCGGCGACGAGCGGCCGCAGAACATCGTCATCGTGGAGTGCCACGGGGTGCTCGTCTCCGGGATCACATCCAAGTGAGTAGCCGAACTCGCCGTCCAATTCTATCTCTTACTCGTTACGGTTCTAATCCGAAGCATGCCTTCTCCCCCCCTCCCTTTGTGTTTCAAATTGTGCTGTTTTGTTCAAAACTTCTTTCCGTCAGCCTGAGTTCTCACCATTTCGCATCTTTCCCCTGGCGATCAACTCTGCAGGGACCCCGCGATCAAGCATCTGTTCTTCTACGAGAACAAGGGCGTGACGGTGCGCGGCGTGACGACGGCGGTTCAAATTCTCACCGTTCCCCTCCCCCCTCTCCTCCCCGTCTCACTCCTTCCCCCTCTCACCAGAGACCCCGCGTTCAAGCACCTGTTCTTCTACGAGAACAATGGCGTGACGGTGCGCGGCGTGACGACGATGGCGCCCGAGGAGAGCCCGAACACGGACAGCCTGCACCTGTCGTACGTGCAGGACGCGCTCATCGAGAACTGCGAGTTCTCTAGCGGAGACGACAATGTCGCGATCATCAACGGCACGTCGCGAGTGCTGATCCAAAATATCGTCGGGAACTCCGGCCACGGGATCAGGTGAGACCTCCCTTGCGTTTACAGGGGCCCTTGGACGTTTACGTTTACGAACAGGGAAGAGATTTAAAAGAAAACGCCACAAAAGGCAACCCCCCACCCTCCGCCCCTGCGGAAAGGAAGAAGATTAACGATGAAGGTGAATCTCCATCTGTACCTAAAGCGGATCTTCCGATCCACTAAAGCGCACCTTTCCTCACTTGTTGTCGTCCTCTCCCCTCGCCCCCTGAAGCGACTTTTGAGTCGACTCAAAAGCCTCCTCGCTTGTTGTCGTCCTCTCCCCTCGCCCCCTGAACCCCCGACAACAACAACAGCATCGGCAGCCTCGGCAAGGGCACGGACACGAGCTGCGTGTCGGACATCACATCACGGTGCGGAAGTCCAACCTACGCAACACCCCCAACGGGCTCTAAATTCGACGCACAACTCAAAATTAATCTCCTTTTCCCCTCCTCTCGCCCCCTACCCCCCAAAAACCACAGCATTGGAAGTCTCGGGAAGGACAAGGACACGAGCTGCGTGTCGGACATCACGGTGCGCAAGTCCATCCTGCGCAATACCGCCAACGGGCTGCGGATCAAGACGTGGCAGGGCGGCAAGGGCAAGGTCTCGGGGATCCACTTCGACGACATGATTCTCGAAAACGTTGGTAACCCGATTCGCATCGACCAGTTCTACTGCAACAGCGAGCCGTCGCGGTCCTGCGGGACGTCTGGCAGCGCCGTCGCGATTTCGGACGTCACGTTTCAGAACGTCCAGGGAACGACGTCCAAAGGCGAGGGGATAAAAATCGACTGCTCCGATACAGTCCCCTGCAGTAACATCCTCCTCGCTAATATCAACCTCCAGCCCGTGGCAGGGGGAAACCCGCTGGAGCCGTTTCTCAATAGCGCGTATGTGACTGTAGAGGGGCAGGTGGTGCCTCAATTGAAGGACGTCAAGAGCAGCCCGAGCTCGGGGCTGCTTTCAGCGGTGAAGGAGATGCAAGGGTACTGCTGATGGGCGTGCTGGGTGGGCGGCAAGGGGCTCTGTGCAGGGGTGTGATGGACAAATTGCAGGAGGGTGCTGCCTATGGGCGTGGTGGGAGGGCTGTGGGTGGAGGGTACTGCTAACAGGGTGGAGGTGAGGGTGGTGGGGGGTGTGGGGGCGAAAGGGCATGACCTAGGTTAGCATTGACAAGTGAACGTCTGTCAGAACCTTTCTGACAGCAGCAGCGGCAGCAGCAGTGACATTAGGTAGCAGTAGCAGAAGCAGCTGCAGCACGTGTAACAGAGATGGTGTAGTGTTAGCAACAGCAGTAGCGGCAGGATGGGGATCAGAGATGTCAGCAACAGCAGCGGCAGCAGCAGCAGCAGATTCTTTGGACAAGGGGGGCGCAATCCTACCGTATGTAGGCTCTACTGAGGAAGGCTTTACTGGGAAAGGGTTAGGGGAACCAGGGGTCAAGGCCTTGGGGACTTGGGATCTGATGCCATTCAGTTGGGCATCGGGTTTGAGGAATGGACGGTTGGGATTGGGAGATAGGGTCAGCAGAGCCAGGAGTGCTCATCTCCCTTCATGTAGGGGATAGGGGCACACATGGGGGTCTCTCGTCTCATGTTGTACTTGTATGACCTATGCAATTATCAGAGATTTCAGTCTACTGGGTGATTCAAATACTATCTCTTACCAAGGCGCTGATTACAGTAAGACGTGTGACGGTAAATCGCATGTGATAATGCCACTTGATCCGAACGACAACTGCCTCATCACTTCATCAAGCCTCCCAGGCACCGTATCTCTACTACTGTAACTGATTTAAATTCTACCGTATCTCGTACCAAGACGCTGATTGATTACAGTAAAAAGGGTGAGCGTAAATCGCCGGCGATGATGCCACTTATCCAAACGACAACTGCTTCATCACACCTCCCAGGCTCGCGGCACCACTTCCCCCGAACAGAAGTGAGAGCATCATTTGGCTTGGCACACGGGGCAGATGCGTTGGTCTCCACTCCAGCCAGTGACCATGACTCAGTGCCAGTGACCATGACTCAGTGCCAGTGACCATGATGCATCGCATTGGACTCAAAAGCTGCCATTTCTCTAGAGGCATTTACCACGACTCAGCTCAGTTCGTTTAACGATGGGAATGTCCTTACCTTATTTGCCATGTCTACTGGCCAGAACACGCCCAAGTTAGTCTATTCAGGCGGGTTTTAAAAAGGGTTAGGATCAAAGCGAGTTATGATCAATATCAAAGTGTACAGCTAGAGAGCCTAAACGTAGGAAAGAAACGATTACATATGCTCCAACAATTGCAGCCGGGTCCACATCAGCAAAGCACTCCCGTCATCATGTGCCTGAACTCGTTATAATCAACCTTGCCGTCCCCGTTAGCGTCCACCGTGGCAATCATCCTATGGCAGTCCTCTATCGACATGGCATCGCCGCTCAGCATCTTGATCGCTCGCTGAAGCTCTTCCGCGCATATCGTCCCATTCCCATCTCGATCGAACAGCTGAAAGGCCCGTCTTAGCTCGTCGTCAGGCGCTGCCGCCATCGACGCTGCTGTTTCCTCTCCCGATTCTTTGCTCGGTCTGCACGCAGCGCAACCGCTAGCAGAGCCGGGGGAAGGCATGAGGGCAGAATTGACGAATTCTTCGAAGTCGATCTGCCCGTCGCCGTCAGAATCTGCTGCCTGGATCAGTTCGTTGACGGACAGACTGACGGTTCCCGTCGAGTTGATCCGTTCCAGAACCTGCGCCAGCTCCACCGGGGAGATTTTTCCGTCACCGTTTAGGTCGAGAATGCGGAACGCGTTTAGCGCTTCTTGCCGTTGGGAAGGAGTTAAAGCCACCTGCGCGCGCTTGCCATCAACGGCTCGAGCGCAGTGGCAAGGCGGCGTGAGCTCACCCTTGGACATAGTTGCCGCGATTAAAGCTGGGAGCTAGCAGGGATGCGTTTTATCCGCTGACGTGTACGGGCGGTGAGACTATGAGCTGCTGAGATACAAACTGAGATGGGTGAGAACGACAGACTATGCGCGAGTTTTGCTTTCTACCGAAACCATGTGTGAAAGTCTTCCTCCCAAAAGCTTCGAGACACGCGTTACAAGCAAGCATGATGGGCCTGAGCTTGTAATTGGATGACCCGTGTGTGAAGCGGGAGCGAGTTTCTGGGCACTCGAGGTCAGAGTGTCTGTGGTGTGAACTCCGGACTGGACTCGGGACTGGACTGGACTCGGGAAATTGCAAATGGAGGGAAGTGGGGTGGGGATGGGAGGGAGGGAAAACCATGCGCGCAAATCGTTGAATTTGCGAAATTGAGTTCGCGGATTGAAGGAGCGATTCGACCGATATTTTAGCCAGCGCGACTCGCAACTTCCGAAGCTGGCACAACACACGCTGCTTCCACGTTCAGGGGAGCCGTTTCACTCTGATCTGATGACAGCTGTTTGGCAAGGTGAAGGGACTTCTGTACATTTTTAGCGACAATGGCGAGTGTCGCTGTCATACGCCGCGAAACATTTGACGACGACTGCTCCACAGGGTCCAGCACCATTCGCGAAAGCAAGCAAGCTGTACACTTGGACTTTTTATGGTATGCACGGCAGATTACAGTGACCTACAGCTTATCAGATCCTGCTAATATGTGGTACAATCTGGTCATCCTCATCATCGCCCCATAAACCGCCAATTCCTGTCCTTTGCGCCCCATTTCAGTTTTCTCATGATAACATCAACCTCCACCAACATCTAGAGGCAGCGGATAGGTTGCAGGCACTCGTCCCGATAGAAAAAAGGTTGCAGCCGCTGGTGCGGCTTGGATTCAGAATGCGGAAACGTAGCGATCCGCAACAGGGGCTTGCAATTGCAACCACTCTCCCGGGGCAGAAACTCAGAGTGCTTAGGGTTACGTTCAACTGACTCGTGCAGCGGACAACCGTGCCCCGAACAGCCGAACGGATTCGTGCGACCCCCAACGGTGCCTGCAAACTTGGAACGCTTACTATTGGTTACGCTCAACTGACTCACGCGGCGGACACCCAAACAATTCGCGCGGCGAAATGGGCCAACCAACCTCCGAGGAAATCAGGGCCGCCCGACTCCCGCGGCGGTTACCCTTAACCGATTTCTTGCGGTACTGCCCCTGAAAGAATCGGAGCCGTTCGTTTGACGATCTGGGCCAGCGGAAATGTGATGCGGGGAATGCGAGGGCAGGGCGTCGCTCGATCGCGTCCGTGGCGGGATGAAAACGAAATCTCTTCGGGAGGAGGGTGAGGGCGGGCCAAATAAGCCGGCGGCACTGGCTAGCAGCTATTAGCTGCTGCAAGGCTGCGCGACTCGGGGGGGGGGGGGGGGAAACAGGATGGGGATATTGGACAGTGGAGGTGGGAGGGTGAAAGGAGGGAGTGAGGGAAGGGGCGGAGGGAGGGGGAGAAAAGGGAGAGGGAGAGGGTGGGGAGCTTAACAAGCGGCTCGATAGGCTGCTGCTAGCCTGGACCCGCCCGGAACCGGACTGAAGATATAAGCAAGGGATTCTAAGCCGTTTCAAAATCCAGTTGTATGCACCAAGGGCTTGAAACTGGCTTGAGAGCGGCTTGAGACGGCCATAACGGAAGGGCTGCTGATTTTCAGTGTCGCTGCGAGTAGTACCCAGACACACCACCCGTGCTACCACCTGCACTACCACCCATACAGTCACATGGAACTACTAAGGACCAATCGAGCCATGGCGACCCTGCAGTGCGCCGAGTCGTGGTTGGCTCTCCTTCTCGCTGCTCTCCTCCTCGTCCTTACAGAGATCACCACGTGTACTGCTCAGCAGGACTTCTCGAGCGCTGACGCGCCCACGGCCATCCGATTCGGGCGGCGCAAGACACTGGTGATGCCGGGCCTCCCCCCCGTGTCCACAGGTCTGCTGCTCCCCCACTCCCCCAACATGTGGTCGTCCATTCGCCGCCGCAACCCCAACCTTCCGCTCTCTGCTTGACGCTCACGTCGCCGTCCCCCCCCGACCAACCTTCACGCTGTCTGCTTGTGCTCGGCCCTCAAGTCTCCTTCCCCTCCCAAACCCTCCCCTCCTGGTGTGCAGGTCTGCTGCTGCCGCTCACCCCCAACATGTGGTCGTCCATTCGCCGCCGCAACCCCACCTTCCGCCACGCCAGCGTGGGCTTCGTGCCGCCCGGCAACGGCAGCGGCAATGAGAGCGCTGCCCCGCGGTGGAACTATCTTGACCGCGTTGACTGGCAGCAGCGCCGCATGGTGCGGCCCGTGCAGAACCAGGCCTCCTGTGGTGAGACTGTCTGCCTGACAATCTCTCCCTGCTGTCATTCTCCCTCTGTGTTCTCCCTCTGTGTTCTCTCCTCTGTGTTCTCTCCTCCGCTCCGTTCTGCCTCATCTCCTTCCTTCGCTGTCCTTCCTTCTCCAACCTCCTCCCCAATCCCCCCACCTATCAGCCGCCTGCTGGGCTATAGCAGCGGTGGCAGCAGTGGAGTCGCTCTACGCCATCGTCACCAACTCGCCTCCCCCCGCCATCTCTGCGCAACGCCTCCTCGAATGCGCGCCCAACACCCCCCGCACCCCCCCCACCACTCCCCCCACCACCTCCCCTTCTCCCCCCGCCACCACCGCCATTGCTGCGCCTTCCGTGGATGGGAGTCTGAGTGACTACCTGGCAACTTTTGAGTCGACTCAAAAGCAATCTTCTGTCAACGGGAGTCTGAATGACTACCTTGCAAGTCAGATCGCACTTCTGGAGTCGGCTCAAAACTCACAGTCCCCTGCTGCTGCTGCTGCTGCTGCGGATGCATCTTCCTTGAATGGGGGTGGGGGTGAGAGTGGGAGTGAGGGAGATGACACGGAGAGCCAGCAGCGCTGGATGGACGGCTGTGATGGCGGGTGGTCCGCAGAGGCGTTCGATTACATGGCGTTTTCGGCCCTCCCTGCCGCTGCTGGCGCACCTTTCATCGGTGCTAGGGGTACCAGAAACTCCTCCCGTGTGGCGCTGTGCCTGCAGCAGCAGCAGCAGCAGCAGCAGCAGCAGGCGGTGCCGCCGCCACTAGTCTACGCGGATAACTCGGTGCCATTCTCCCGCCGTCCCCCTTACAAAGGCCCCTTTAGCGTCACAATGTTCGAGGAGACAGCACTCGAGGGGTATCTGGGGATGATTCTGGCGCTACAGCGGCAGCCCGTGGTGGCTGCTATTGAGGCGGACCAACCCTCTTTTATCAAATACGATGGGGTGAGTGGGGATCGATGGGATGGTGTCATCTCTTCCTTGCTTATTTTCACCCCTCTTTCATTTCGTCTCCTTCTTCTCTCTCTTCTCCTCTTCAATGGCTCTCGCTCCCCCCTGTTCCCCTTGGGCGCCTCTCCTCCCCTCTCCTATGCAGTCCTTCATCTACTCCGACCCGGCCTGCTTCATCAACGGGGTCGTGGACCACTCCGTACTCGTTATAGGCTACGACCTCGCAGCACCGACCCCCCACTGGCTGATCCTCAACAGCTGGGGCTCCTGGTGGGGCAGCTGGGGGGTCATGCGCCTAGCCATGTCCGGAGGAGACGGCATATGTGGCATCCACTCCATGCCAGCGCTCTACCCGGTTATAAAGACGCCGGACCCGTGTTTTCCTGTGAACCCCTGTGGCGGAGGGAGGTGTGCCGTGGATGCGGGCACGGGCGGCAACACGTGCGAGTGCCCCGAGGGGTTTCGGGCGGTGGTTAACATTGACGGGTCGCAGTCGTGCGCTCTTGGTGAGTATGGAGGGGAGTGAGTTAGTGAGTGAATGAGGGAGGGAGTAGTTTTGTGTTGTGTAAGCCAACTCTCTCGTCCTCCCTCTCTCTTCTCGTTTTAGCCTGCCAAACAATGTCTGTCCCCCATCCCCCCTCCCTTTACCTCTCCCTTCCTCCTCTCAGCCGCCCGCTGTGCGTTCTCCATGGTGAACCCGTGCGACAGCGGCACGTGCATCGACAGCAGCAGCAGCAAGGGCGGCTACTCCTGCCTGTGCCCGCCGCCAGCGGAGCGCGGCAACAACACGGACGGCACGCAGACGTGCATCGTGCCGCCAGCAGCCCTCGCCAGCAGCAATGGGGAGAATGGCAACGACGGCAACAACGCCAACAATGGCGGTGGCAGCAACAGCGGTGGTAGCAGCGACAGCGGCAGTGGCAGTGGTAGTAGTATCGCTCCGAGTGTGCGGCGGGTGCGGGTGTTGGAAGGGATGACATGCGGCATGCTGGCACTCACCTTCCGCCTCACTGTGGAGCAGCTGCAGCAGACCAACCCGGTACTGCCACGTGTCCCTTTTCTCCCTTGCTTTTATCCGTATGACTCGGCGGCCGAGAGCCATATACACACGAGCTTAACTCACCGACGTGTCCCCATGTCCCCATGTCCCCATGCCCCCATGTCCCCATGTCCCCATGTCCCCATGCCCCCATGTCCCCATGTCCCCATGCCCCCATGTTTCCATATGCATGTGTGCCGTTTGTCCCCATGCTGCAGGGCATCGACTGCAGCAGGCTTGAGATCGGCACAACGGTGATGGTCAACACGTCTGCTGCGGCAGTCGCCTGCTCCCTGTCTTATGCTGCATCCCCGGTGCGCCCCTTCACTCACCTTCGCCCCTTGCACCTAACACTCCTCCGCTTCTCAACCCCACACCTTCCCCTTCCGCTTTGTTCTGCCAACTAATTCTCGATCAGCCATGCTCCTTTTGACGCATTGCTGACCGTGATAGAAAAAGAGTAGCGCTGCTGTCGCACTGCGTTGCTGTCACACTGCCAGTCGCACTGCCACTTTGATCAGCCATGCTTCTTTTGACTAACTATGGACGTTTGCTCTGCGCAGGGCGACACCTGCGCTTTGATAGTGGGCCTATTCAATACAAGCACAGCGACGCTACTCTTCCTCAACCCCCAGCTGGACTGCTCCCTTCCCTTCGCCACCAGCCAGTCTGTAAGTCCCTCTCTTCAATCATGTTCGGATTTTTTCCCCCGTATCTAAACAACCAATGTCACTCACTCTCATGCCGCCCTACTGCTGTCCCTGTCTCTGTACAGACGAAGACAGGGGCTTAACTGCCTCCCTTGTCCCCTCCCATTCACAACATACCCTCTTCCTCCCCGATTCCTTGTTCCCTCCCCCATCAGCTCTGTGTGGCAGCGCCATCCACGCCTCTCCCCTGTCGCTGCACGCAGTGGTACACGCTGCAACCCAACGACACGTGTCGGATCCTCATGCCATCCGTGGCCTGTCCCCCCCTCCCCCCCTCCCCCGCTCCCCCCCTCCCCCCCCTTGCTTGTCCCCCCCATTCCTGGCGTATTCTCGCCTCAGATCTGTGTAGCAGCAGCATCAACACCCCTCCCCCGTCGCTGCGCGCAGTGGTACACGCCGCAGCCCGAGGACACGTGCCAGGGGATCATGCAGTCCGTGGCCAGCCCCCCCCTCCCCCCCGCGCACTTCTTTGCGCTCAACCCAGGCCTCTCCTGCTCCCACCTCGAACAGCCAAACGCTGCCGGCGTGGAGGTGAGGAGGAGTTTGAGGGGTCAAGAGGTGTGCGTTCTGATAACAGCCCAACATGTCTTTGCACTCAACCCCGGCCTCTCCTGCTCCCACGCCAAACAGCCCAACGCTGCTGATGTCGCTGAAGGAGGGGTTTGGGGCGCTAAGGGGGGGGCTGTTGAGTCAAGCTGAATATTGAGTCGAAGTCAGCTCGGTTAGGGGGCTAGGAGGGGTGTGCATTCGACTCAGGGCATGTCTTTGAACTCAACCCCAGCCTCTCCTGCTCGTACCTCAAACATCCCAACGCTGTGGGCGTCAAGGTAAGGAGGAGGGGAGTGGGGAAGGGGGGGTCCAGGATTTCTTTTGAGGCTCCTTTTGAGGAGCCTGAAAAGCATGCTGTGGGCGTCCAGGAGGAGGAGGAGAGGGGTGGGGAGGGGGGGGTCCAGGAGGGTGGGAGAATGCGTGTAACGTGGGCTTCTTTCCTCTCTCCGTGCTTGGGTTTTGAGGACTGAGACTGGGACTATGGGTGATAGTCTGGCTAAAGCTGTCTGTTTGTGCCTATGACTTTTTGTAACGTGGGTTTTTTCCTCTCTTCGTGTTTGTGTTGTGTGTGACCTTTGGTTGTTTGTTTGATTGTCAGGTCTGTACGAGGGCGGCTCCCAATCTGACGGGAGCGACCAACTGTTTTACGGGCGAAGTGTACTATGCGACGCGAGGAGACACGTGCGCACGCATACTGGCGATTTATTTCTCCTATAGTGCACGGCTCATGGCGCAGTATAACTACGGTGCTGTTTGCAGAATGCCGCTGTTTGTTGGCCAGCGATTCTGCCTGCCTCCGCTAGAGAGGAAGGGGACCGTGCTTTATCCACCGTCGAGCCGCCAATAAACATTAATGATGCGAGTCAGTCCTGATCGCTGTGTTATTCCACGAGTGTTTCCGTTAGAGCTGATGTATTATATCAACTATGTTGGATGCTATAATAATGGACATTAAGTGACACAACTCTTGTATATGTTTTGCTGTTGAGAAGTGACAAATATTACGTATGCTTGATAACGATATATGGCGGAGTAGCATAACGTGCCCTTCGTGAAGCTGCTTTGCAGACAATTTTAGCGTCACGGTAACGCGAAAACCTGGGCTCGTCCATTAATCTCGACGGTCAATCTCGCAGACTCCTTCCAGATGCCGTGCGACCAAACTACTTCGAGAAAGCTGCATTGTCGCCCACTTCGCGGCAGCTCCAAGCGCAGCTTGGTCGCCACGCCACGCAATGCAACCGCAAGTCCACCCGGTCGAGGCAAGTCTGAGATTTCGCAACTCAGCCGTGGAGAAGTGTGACTGGCCGAGTGCAGATGCAGCGAAATTTCAGAAGCAGGTAACCAGAGAGGTCAAACCCACCCTGCCGCGTGACGTGAACTCCAAACAGCCAACACACAAATAGGGGCGAAATGGCATCCTGCCAACATTCACTCATTTCTAGTCAACTAATATTCGATCACTAAAACTTCCGCGGTTAGACTTACCTCTGCACTCGCAAAACGCTTACTTGCTCAGTTGAGCTCGTTTTGCGCCCACTACTCACCTACTAGGCTCCATTTGAGATTCGCTCTTTCGTCAAATCCAGTCGCCCAGGTCCCTACGTTAACCGCGTGCATGGCCCAGCACGATAACCGCTCTACTACTTCTCGACAGGTTTCCTCGTCCTCTTCGTTCCGCCGCGAAGCCGCTCGAACCTTCCAAGCCATCGACCTCGACAGGGACGGCAAAATCTCCGCGCACGAGCTCGCGACGGTCCTAAAACGGCTAAATTACGGGAGTTCTAAACCCTTAATTACGTGCACTAATGCGGGAGGGTGTGATGAGAGTTCGCGCGTGGCAGAAGAAGATTTGATTCGCTTCGCGGAGGATGTGATTCACGAAGCTGACGTGGACGGCGACGGGGTGATCGATTTCGAGGAGTTTCTGCTCTCCGCTCGCGCGGGGCCCTCGCTCATGGGCGAGTTCTTCGTCTCCGTTCCATCGTCCAATGAGGATGGGGATGAATCGGACGGTGGGAGTGATTCGGACGAGGACGAGATGGAAGGGGACTTGTTTCGCGCGTTTGAGGTCTTTGATCTTGACGGGAACGGCGTGATTTGCGCTGAAGAGCTGCGGTTCGTTGTTGGCGTACTTAGTGGGGATGAGTTGACGAAGGAAGACTGTGAGCGGATGATAAAGCGAGTGGACAATAACGGGGATGGTCGCGTGGATTATACCGAGTTCAAAATCATGATGGCTGGAGTATTTGCTTGACCATTAGAGTTGAGCTTGGAAGGACTTATGGCAATAAGTTATTATTGTACAATTTCCTTATGAATCACTGTACACCACTGCAAATCACTCTGCCTCAACGCTGTCCTTCCACGCCTGGTGAAACTCCACGGCAGCAAGCAGAGCTGTGGCAAGCACCTTCCTGGCATCTTCCTGGTTGCTGCCAAAATATGCATACCTAATGGCACGGCTGTGCAATCCGCCCATCTCCAGGTGCGGCACTATGGCGATCTGGTCGGCAAACTCCCTCACTGCTGCCTGGAGGCCCGTAAAATCCCACCCTGTCGCTGCAGACTTGGCCTGCCATAACGACAGGAACTGGGGAAGGGGCAGCAGGAAAAGCAGGGTCGGTGGGAGATTTCTTAGTCGACCCAGAAGTCACCCAAGGGCAGCAGGGGAAGCAGGGTGGTGGGAGGAAGGGGTGGAGAGTCGGGGAAAGGTCGGTGACGCTCCACTCAAGTGCTGCTGACTTGGCCCTCCACAGGGACAGGAACTGCGGCTGGGGGGAACAGCTCTTGGGGCATTGTATCCGGTGAACGCAAAATCAGAGGTCGGTCTAGCAAGTGTTGCTGAAACTTATGTAACTAGGAGTTTGGAAAAAGCTGGAGCTCTTCCCTTAACAGTGAAAGAAAGAGGATTTGAAGACACACTATGTCCCAAGTGCTGCTGACTTGGCCCTCCACAAGGACAGGAACCGCAGGTGGGTGGAGCAGGAATGCAGAGTTCCCGCCTTCCCCCCCGAACCAATTTTTGAGGCACCTAAAAAATAGACTCCTCACGCAGGGCAACAGGAAAGCGGAGTCCCCACCTTCCCCCCCCAACCATACACCCCATCCCCCGACCGGCCCACTACCCCAATCACCAGGTCTCACCTTGAAGGTGTCCCCGCTGCATGTGAGCAGCACAGCCGCACTACCCACAAAAGGCACGCTCTCATGGAACAGAGTCTCATAACTCACATGCCCTGTACCTTGCAGCCGTCTCGCTTTGACAGGCCTTCTCACCTCGCAAGCTCCTCTCACCTTAAAGGTGTCCCCACTGTGTGTGAGCAGCACAGCCGCGTTGCCCACAAAAGGCACGCTCTCATGGAACAGAGTCCCTGCCTTCCCCGCCAGCCCATACACCCCATCCCCCGATCTCCCCACCAGCCCTATCAGCCCCCGCCCCTTCCCCTTCCCCTCCCTCCCCCCCTCATCCGCCGACTCCCCTGGACCACCCTGCTTCCACCGCAAACTTTCCTTTCCCTTCGCCCCCTGCTTCTCCTGCCGCTGATACGCCCCCCCCTCCCCCTGCTGCTGGGAGTCCTTTTCCCCCACTAGCGCAGCAGGGTCTGAGGGGAACCACGTCTGGTTGTCCATGTCTATTCCCGACCGCGTGATCCACGCAAAGGTGTCTCTCTCGCCGAGGGTTGCGGCCCACTGCTCCACTGGGAGGCTGTGCTGCTCCATGCGTATGTATGCGCCGTCTAACAGCGCTAGCACCCACCGGCAGCAGCAGGCTAATTGCCTGTTGATGAAGGCGATCTGAGGGGGGGGGGGGAGGGGCACAGGAGGGGGTTGAGTCAACAAGGTGTCGCTGAGGGGGAGGGATGCGACCCACTGCTCCACAGGGAGGCTGTGCTGCTCCATGCACATGTACGCACCGTTGAGGAGAGGTAGCGCCCACTTGCAACAGCAGGCTAATTGCCAGTTGATGAAGGTGAGAGGGTGAGAGGTGAGGTCAGAGGGAACAGGGTTGCAGCCCACCGCTCCACTGTGAGGCTGTGCTGCTCCAGACGTATGTATGTGACGTCCAGCAGGGCTAGTACCCACCAGCATCAGCAGGCCAGCTGGCAGTTGATGAAGGGAATCTGAGGGAGGAAGTGAGAGAAAGAGGTCAGAGTGACCAGGGGGGTTTGAGGCGACAAGGTGTCCCTGTGGGTGAGGGACGCTACAGCCCACTGTTCCATACTCAGGTTGTGCAGCCACACATTGGTGCTTTAAAAAGGGTAAACACGGAGCTGCTCGCCTAGTCATATGGCCCACTTTAGAGTCGACTCAAAAGCAAACTCAGGCTGTTCTGCCAGGTCATGAGGCGCATTGTTTTGCTTGAAGTTTTTCTAACATGCTGCTGCTGCTGCTGCTGCACTGTTCCACACTCGAGCTGTGCTGCTCCGTGCGAATGCAAGCCCAGCTCAAGACCACCCAACGCTCAAGATCGCCCAACGCACAAGATAGCCCAACGCTCAAGATCGCCCAACGCACAAGATCGACCAACACACAAGATCGCCCGACGCACAAGATCCCCCAACGCACAAAATCGCCCAACGCACAAGATCGCCCGATGCACAAGATCGCCCGACGCACAAGATCGCCCGACGCACAAGATCGCCCAACGCACAAGATCGCCCAACACACAAGATCGCCCAACGCTCAAGATCGCCCAACGCAAGATCGCCCAGAGACAAGACATGGGCTTTGAGACACATGACATGGGTACACGCTTACTCTGTTGATGCTGCTAGGGTCGATGCCATCGCCTATCAGCGCAGGTGTGCCCATGGGCTTGGAGACACATGACATGGGTACACGCTTACTCTGTTGATGCTGCTAGGGTCGATGCCTTCACCTATCAGCGCAGGTGTGCCCATGGGCTTGGAGACACATGACATGGGTACACGCTTACTCTGTTGATGCTGCTAGGGTCGATGCCTTCCCCTATCAGCGCAGGTGTGCCCATGGGCTTGGAGACACATGACATGGGTACACGCTTACTCTGTTGATGCTGCTAGGGTCGATGCCTTCCCCTATCAGCGCAGGTGTGCCCATGGGCTTGGAGACACATGACATGGGTACACGCTTACTCTGTTGATGCTGCTAGGGTCGATGCCTTCCCCTATCAGCGCAGGTGTGCCCATGGGCTTGGAGACACATGACATGGGTACACGCTTACTCTGTTGATGCTGCTAGGGTCGATGCCTTCACCTATCAGCGCAGGTGTGCCCATGGGCTTGGAGGCACATGACATGGGTACACGCTTACTCTGTTGATGCTGCTAGGGTCGATGCCTTCCCTATCAGCGCAGGTGTGCCCATGGGCTTGGAGACACATGACATGGGTACACGCTTACTCTGTTGATGCTGCTAGGGTCGATGCCTTCACCTATCAGCGCAGGTGTGCCCATGGGCTTGGAGACACATGACATGGGTACACGCTTACTCTGTTGATGCAGCTAGGGTCGATGCCTTCCCCTATCAGTGCAGGTGTGCCCATGGGCTTGGAGACACATGACATGGGTACACGCTTACTCTGTTGATGCTGCTAGGGTCGATGCCTTCACCTATCAGCGCAGGTGTGCCCATGGGCTTGGAGACACATGACATGGGTACACGCTTACTCTGTTGATGCTGCTAGGGTCGATGCCATCGCCTATCAGCGCAGGTGTGCCCATGGGCTTGGAGACACATGACATGGGTACACGCTTACTCTGTTGATGCTGCTAGGGTCGATGCCTTCACCTATCAGCGCAGGTGTGATGGCGTCCAGCGAGTAAAAGGTGTACCCGTGGCGCTCAGCGTACAGCCTGAGTGGGGAAGCGGGGGCGAGGAGGGGGGGAGAGCAGAAGCAATGTGCTGGGAGGGCGACAGCACAGGTTCGATGGCGTCCAGCGGGAAGAGAGTGTACCCATAGCGCTCGGCGTACAGCCTGAGGGGGGCAGCAGGCGAGGAGGGGGAGAGAACAGTGCAGCAATGTCATCGAAGGTGACAGGTGATGTGATAGTGCCAGTGCATTAAACGGAGATGCACTGATAGCCCTATCAGCAAAGGTGTGATGGCGTCCAGCCAAGAGAAGGTGTGCCCATGGCGCTCCTTTGCCAGCAGATACCTTCCATGGGCCAGCCTGCCCTTTTGAGGCGCCTCAAAAGTCAAAAGTTTTGAGGCGCCTCAAGCGCCAAGAGAAGGTGTACCCATGGCGCTCCTAAACCAGCAGATACCTTCCTTGGGCCACCCTGCTCTTCCCCCCTCCCTCCCTTCTCCCCCCCTTTCCCCCCTCCTCTCTCACTGGTTGATGAGCTGAGAGGAGAGCCAGGACGGGAGGTCCCTTGCATTGTCCTCGAGATAGTCAGGGGACGATGTGTTGCCAAGCAGAGCAAGCATCCTCCCCCACTGTCCCCCAACCCTCTCACTGGTTAATTAGTTGGGAGGAGAGCCACGAGGGGAGGTGCCTTGCAATATCCTAGAGGTAGTCAGGGGACGATGTGTCAGCCAGCAGAGCACGCATCCTCTCTCTAACCTCTCCCTCTCCCCCCCCCCCTTAGTCGGGGGACAATGCGTCGGCCAGCAGGGAGGAGCTGATCCTATCCCGTCCCTCCTAGCCTTCCCCCAACCCATCCTCCCCCTCTCCCTCACTGGTTATTAAGTTGGGAGGAGAGCCACGAGGGGAGGTGCTGAGCGCTGTCCTCGAGGTAGCCATGGGACGATGATCTTCCAGGCCAGCAGAACGCTGATCCAATCTCTTAACCGCCGCGTTCTCACTCGATCCCCTCCTTCCTCGCTCCCCTCCCCCCCCCACCCCCACTCCCCCAACTCCCCCCCTTCCTCACTGGTTAATGAGTTGGGGGGAGAGCCACGAGGGGAGGTGATTTGCATTGTCCTCGAGGTAGTTAGGCGACGATGTGTCTGCAAACAGAGCATGCATCCCTTCTCTAACCTCTACCTCTACCTCTCCTCTAGTCGGGGGACAATCTGTCGGCCAGCAGGGAGGCGATGTTCCTATCCCGTCCCCCCCATTACCCCCCTTCCTCACTGGTTAATAAGTTGGGAGGAGAGCCACGAGGGGAGGTGCTTGGCGTTGTCCTCCAGGTAGTCGGGCGATGATGTGTCAGCAAGCAGGGAGGCGTTGATGCTGCCGTGATCAACGGCCAGGATGCACCGCTGGTTCAGATGAACCTGGCCTGGCAAGAAGGAGGGAGTGCGAGGGAGTGCGAGGGAGTGCGAGGGAGTGCGAGGGAGCAGCTGAACGGAGTCTACCATGGGGTGCAATGCAAGTTCATCACAAACAAAGTGTGGCAAAGACGGAGCTGGTGGGCCAAGGGATAAGACTGCGCTGGAGTGAATGACCCAGGGCAAGGACGGAGCTGGTGTGCAAGAACATTTGGCTCGGCCAAGGGGTCATCCACTTGGCCATTGGGTCATCCACTCGGCCAAGCGATCATCCACTCGGCCAAGGAATCATCCATTTGGCCATTGGGTCATCCACTCGGCCATAGGGTCATTCACTCGGCCATTGGGTCTTTCACTCGGCCATTGGGCCATTCCCTCGGCCATTGAGTCATCCACTCGGCAATTGGGTCATTCACCAGGCCATTGGGTCATCCAGTCGGCCATTGGGCCATTCCCTCGGCCATTGAGTCATCCACTCGGCCATTGGGTCATTCACTCGGCCATTGGGTCATCCACTCGGCCATTGGGTCATCCACTCGGCCATTGGGTCATCCACTCGGCCATTGGGTCATCCACTTGGCCATTGGGTCATCCACTCGGCCATTGGGTCATCCACTCGGCCAATTGGGTCATTCACTCGGCCAGCGGCGGACAGGAGCGGCCAGGAGCCGCGGCCCGCGGCGGCCAGTGGCGGCCAGCAGGGGCCAGCAGCGGCCAGCAGCAGCGGCCAGCAGCGGCCAGCAGCGGCCAGCAGCGGCCAGCAGGGGTCAAACGCTCGGCCATGGGGTCATTCACTCGGCCATGGGATCATCCACTCGGCCATGGGTGTGCTAAGCAATGTCAGAGCGTCTCTTAAAGCCGTTGTGCATTAGTAGCATCGCTACAGGGGTTGGGAGCATAGTCTGAATGCCTCTTAAAGCCGAACCTTGAGTGTTAGTCGCCTTGCCGGAGGAGTTGGGGAGGAAAGCCGTACCTTGAGTGTTAGAAGCCTTGCCGGAAGGGTTGGTTAGCAACGCCTGAATGCCTCTTAAAGCCGCATCTACGTCACCCGCCCGGTCCCTGGATTCGTGCAGCAACGATTTGAGCTGCTGACGTGGCAGAATAGGGGTCGAGTGGGTGGGAAATGAGAATGATGGGGAGTCTGAACACAGAGTACCCCTCACTCAAAAGCTGCAAGGGATCTCCGCCCTAGGATTGAAGCCAGTAGAAGGATCGTCGCACCTGATCAACGGTCGAGGAATGATGCTGATGAAAAGCAACGGCGAGGATGACGGCAAACAGCGAGCCGGTGACCACGCCTAGATTATGCCACGTGGCATCCGAAACGGCCTTGGATCCGGTCGCCATCACAACTGGCTTACTAAGCGACGGTTCACTAAGCGACGGTTCATTGAGCGACGGTTCACTGAGCGACGGTTCACCGACCGACGTTCACCGAGCGACGGTTCACCAAGCGACGGTTCACTGAGCGACGGTTCACTGAGTGACGGTTCACTGAGCGATGGTTAACTGAGCGACGGTCTACTAAGCGACGGTTTACTAAGCGACGGTTAATCGAGCGACGGTCACTAAGCGACAGATCGTTAAAGCTTAGACAGGCATCCTACATTCTAAATTCTGGTATACATCGTCAAATAGCGACTTCGATTTCATCTCCATTTCGACGAGTTTACGATACGCCAGGAGGTTAACGCGACACTTGAATCAGTCTTAAACGAGTACTTATTAACGAGTACTTCCACAGCATACTGTAGCTACTGCTGTGCAGCGCCAGAAACGCGTTTTAGATGTCATAACCGGCTGGTTCAGGCGACGGAATGCGTACTCCTATACTCACGCCTAGCATCGCTCTTGGCGTCACTAGTGATAAGAGTAGCAGGCGTTAGGGTAAGCGCACTCGAGGGCCAATGCGAAAGTCTGCGCCGCGAAGGAGCAACGTAACTCCCGCCAACTTCACTGCTGAATCTCAAAACATGAGTAACTAGAGACTAGTTGCCTGAACTGAACAACCACCCTCTGCCAGGGGAGTTGAATTTTTCAGCAGACGAGGGAGATGGTTGTACTCGTTACAGCGCAGCGCTTCAGAAACTATATGGTACAAATATCGTTGAAAATCCATTTGCTTCTAAAACGATTGCGCATCTAGCAAACACTCGAGTATGTGCTATTTGCCACGTTAATGCTGGGAAATGTACTTTTAAAAACAAGGATATCCCAATACAACATTACATGCAAGGAGCCACCTCTTCCATGGTACAGGGTCAGGAGCAATATGGGATCAATTCCCCTGCCTTGTTGGACCACTTGAGGGAAGCTAGAGCAACAAATCAGGTTCCTCCCTGCATTCGTCAACTCCTCCTGACATCTCCTTAAAGCCCCATAACACCCTGTCACCCTTCGGGTCTCACCCCCTCAGTTCTCAACCGCCCTGGGCTCGCCCCCTCAGGTCTCATTTTCTCAGGACAGCATCAAGACGCCATCGGGACAGCGTGTCTCACGCATCACCACCACATTGCCATGGCCCATTCGTATACCCCCTCACACAGTCCTCCTCACACCAACCACCAGAACCACAGCAACTGCGCCAAAACCACACCCCGCCTTGTACCACCCACACCTGCTCACCTCTCAGCCCTACAGCCAGACCCTCTTTCAATTGCGTCACCTCTAGCCTCACTCCCTCAGGTCTCACCCCCTCAAGTCTCATCTCACCAGGAAAGCACAAGGACAACCTGTTACAAAACAGCCTGTCTCACGCCTCACCACCTGACCCGACCCGACCCCACCCCATCTGCTGCTATTATCCAACACTAGACATTATGAAACAGGCTGCAACTCACCAGTGATGCATGGCATGTGCAGCAGACACCACTCCATTCAAAGGCAGAGGGGCAGGGGCAGGGTGGCATTAAGCACTCCATGCAGCATCATCATGTGCCGACCACAGCCCTGCCCTCACACAGTCCTCTTCACACCCACCGCCAGCACCACATTCCAGGTGTACTTGGGGTCAGAACCCCCCTCTCACCAGTCTCACCTGTGTACTTGGGGTCAGAACCCCCTCTCACCAGTCTCACCTGTGTACTTGGGGTCAGAACCCCCTCTCACCAGTCTCACCTGTGTACTTGGGGTCAGAACCCCCTCTCACCAGTCTCACCTGTGTACTTGGGGTCAGAACCACCTCTCACCTGCCTCACATCTACAGCTGGGGCATGAACCCCCCTCACCTATTTGCCCTCTTTAGATGAGCTGTAAACCTCCCTCGCACCTCTGTGCATGGGGTCTGGGACCCCCTCACACAGTCAGTGAATACTCAAAACAGTCAGGCACCCCAGATATGTCCACAACTCACCAAAGGTTGCAGCCAAGCAGGAATGGCAGAGGAGCAGGGGCAGGGCGGCATCAGGCACTCCATGCAGCATCATGTGCCTCCCTGCCCTCACACAGTCCTCCTCATACCAACCACCAGCACCGCACCCCACCTTCAATCACTCCAAAGTACAGCACCCCACCTCGCATCCCTGCTCACCTTTCTCACCAATATCTGGGGTCTAAACCGCCCTCACCCGTCTGACCTCTATAGGGGGGGATTGAACCCCCTCACCCGTCTCACCCCTACAATTGGAGTCTGATCCCCCCTCACCCGTCTCGCCGCTAGAGTTGAGGTCTGAACCCCTCCCCCCCCCACCTGTCTTACCCTTATAATTGGGGTCTGAACGAACCCCCTCTCACATTCCTCGCCCCTCTAGTTGGGGTCGGAGCACCACTCACCCGTCTCACCTCTAAACTTGGGGTCTGAACCCACCTAACTTCCCACCTTTATACTTGGGGTCCGTTTTGAAACCCCCACACTCCCCACCTCTATTCTTGGGTTCTGAACCCCCCTCACATCCCACTCATCTCTATACTGGGGGTCAGACGAACCCCCCTCACTTCCCACCTATGCACTCAGACGCGGAGGAGCAGGGTGGAAACCTCCAGAGTAATGCAAGCGCGAGTCATGAGAGGGGGGCTGAAGCTCCCAAGGTACGGCGAGTGAGAGGCAAAAGAGGATAGTTGAAGCCCGCAGGGTAAGGCGTGAAAAGGGCAGAGGGGGGGGGGTTCCCCTGCCCCTAACACGCCTTATCCTGCAGGTTCCAACCCCCCTCTCCCCCCCTGACGCTCACAAGCCTCACCTTGGAAACTCCAACCCCCACCTCCAGAACCCCCACACTGGACTTACCCTTGGGGTTTCAGAACCCCCTCACTTCGCCACTCACCCGACTTAACCTTGGGGTTTCAGAAAACAAACCTTCGCCCATTGCTCAACTTACCCTTGGAGTTTCAGAACCCCCTCACTTCGCCCCTCACTCGACTTACACTTGGGGTTTCAGAACCCCCTCACTTCGCCCCCACTCAACTAACCCGTTGGGGTTTCAGAACCCCCTCACTTCCCCACACTCAACTTACCCTTTGGGGTTTCAGACCCCCCTCACCTCGCCCCTCACTCAACTTACCCTTGGGGTTTCAGAACCCCCTCACTTCGGCCCTCACTCGAGTTACGCTTGGGGTTTCAGAACCCCCTCACTTCGATTTACCCTTGGAGTTTCAGAACCCCTCACTTCGCCCCTCACTCAAATTACCCTTGGGGTTTCAGAACCCCCTCACTTCGCCCCTCACTTCGGCCCTCACTCAGCTTCACCCATCACTTCGGCCCTCACTCAGTGTCTCACCACATCTTACCCTGGGGTGGGTTGCAGGCCCCCTTCTCCGTCCCTCACTCCCCCCCCTGGAGCCATGCATGCATTACCAGACTGGCACAGGGCAGGGTGGCATCAGGCACTCCATGCAGCATCATCATGTGCCGCCCTGCCCCATACCCAGTCAGTGAACCCTCCCATAACCAATCACGACGACGACCACCAACCCCCCCCCTCCCCCCACCCATCCTCTCTCTGCCTTCCACCCAAATTCACCCTTCAGCAGTAGGAGCAGCAGGCAGCCCACTCCCCTTCGGAAACAGCACCCAGAGTGGCCATGGCTTGAGGGGCGAGGTGTGGCGGTGGAAGAGCATGACGTCAGCCCAAGACTCAAATCCCACCCCTGACGTGGCTAGAGCTGACGCGAACCAGAGCCGCCGGCCGGCCGACTCTGACGGTGTCCATTAAGCCTTAAACGTCAGATCGGTTACTTGAGCACCGACTGCCGACGCCTCGCAGATTCCACCAGCCACATCCGACTCACAAGCCACAGCCACCGCGGGTGCTGCCCCTGAGGCAGTGAGCTGACTGCTTGCTCCCTGCTTCCCACCATTCCCCCTCTCTCCACCCCCCTCCCTTCACCCCCATGCGTCCTTACCTCTACCTACCACAGCCATGCACAACCCGAGGCTGCTGAGGGACGGGGGGGGATTAGGGAGGAGGCGACTCCTCTCTTCTCAAGCCAAGGAGCCGCCAGGGGAGGGGGGTGGGGTGGGGGGGTGGGGAAGGGGGGGGGATTAGGGGAGGGGGGGAACTCCACTCTCCAGCTCTCCCTTGCTCCAGTGCTCCGATCTTCAGGCTGCAGGAGGGGATGGAGAGAAAGAGCGGAGGGGGTCAGATCACCACACCTCACCTGGTACCATACCTTACCTTTTACCACACCTCGCTCACAACTCGACCTAGCCTAGCCTGCCCTCTAGCCCCCCAGCCCCCACTGCTGCCACTGCTACAGCTGCTGCCACTTCTGCTGCCGCCGCTTCTGCTGCTGCTGCTGTTGCTGCTTCTGTTGCCGCTTCTGCTGCCGGTCTGCTGCTCAGCTGCTCTGCTGCAGTCTTCACTTGATGCCACGTGGCCTGGTGGGGGGCAGAAGGGGGGAGGAGACAGGAGAGGAGGGGAGGGGGAACTGGTGAGACGGAAAGGGTGGGATTAAAGAGACTTGTGAATCGGAACGAAGTGAATCTGACGAAACGCGAACAGGAATGAACAAGAGCGCTGCAGCAGTGAACGAACTGCAGAGGGGGAATCAACGTACCGCGAGAAGCCAAGCCTGGCCCCCATGCTCTCCCTTGGGGCGGCAGTTTCAGCCTGCTGCAGGGGTGCCTTCCTCCCATCCCCACGGGCTGACATGCCGCCGAGCCACAGGGGAGGGGCGTGGGAGAGTGCCGGGGCTGACCCCCACGCCCCTCCCCCCCACCTGCAATGCACACAAGCAGAGCTGGTCAGTGCACATAGATAGTATCTAGGTTGAATCGAGAACTTGACTTGAAAAGCACGGCAAGAGAAGGGAGGGGGGAGGGGCCACTGGTGGAGGCGAACCCACAAGCCACAGACCCTCAGGGGGACCTGAGGGCTGAACCTGCAGTAGGGGGTGAACCTGGGGGGGCTGTAAGGCGTTAGGGGGGCCTAACCTGGGGGGGTTACCAGCAGCAGAGGGGGCTCTGTGGCTTGTGAACGAGGCCCCAACCAGTGGCAAATTTGTAATACAGGAAGGATCAACGCACAGGAAAAGCAAGGAAAGCGGAATGGTGAGCAGTGAGCAGCAGAAACGGGAAGGTCTGAGGGAGAAAGTACTTCGCTGGACAGTTGCAGCACGCCTGCTGCCCCTCCTGCTGCTGCTGCTCCCCGCCTGCTGCTGCTGCTGCTGCTCCCCGCCTGCTGCTGCTGCTCCCCGCCTGCTGCTCCCTGCATCCAGCTGCTGCCGCAGCTCGCCTGGAGAGGGGCAGGAAGGGGGATGCAGACAGAAGGCGAGTGAGAGCAAGCCGTGGCCCAGCCAAGGGGAAGTGAAGCCATCATGATGCTAAGGAACGACAGGCGGCTTGGAAGCATGAGCGCCAGAAGGCAGCACCAGATGAGCCTTCCTCCCAGCCAGGCAGAGCAGAACGAGAGGGGAGCAGGCAAGTGCAGGCGAGGAGCCTACCTTGAGGCGCCGGCCCCACCCCGATACTCTCCCTGGGAGTTCCACTCGTGGCAGCCTTCCTCCCAGCCTTCCGCTGTGCATGCCTGCACGACCACCAGGGAGGCGCGTGGGGGAGTGTCGGTGCTGACCCTCCCCTCCCCCGCGCCCCTCCCCTCCACCTGCAATGGGGGAAACAGAACTAGTCAGCGCACCGTGAGGGCATCAAGGGCAAATGTGCGACAGAGACTGAAAACCAAAACTGCAAGGCGAGAGGGGGGAGGGGCCACTGGAGGAGGCAAACCCACAAGCCACAGACCCCCAAGGGAACCTGAGGGGGCGGTCAGGCTTAGGCGGGCTTAACCTGAGGGAGGGCTTTACCAGCAGTAGGGTGGGGGGGGGGAGGGGGTCTGTGGCTTGGGGGTCGGACCCAAACCAGTGGCGAGATTTGAATGGAGAAAGCACAGAAGCACAATAGAAGCACAATAGAAGCACAATAGAAGCACAATAGAAGCATAATAGAAGCAAGAAAGGCGAGGTGAATGCATGGAGAGGAGGAAGAGGGCGGTACTTAGCTCTGCTCTGCTTGAAGAGTCCAAGACGACTTCCTGCAGGCAATGGCGCTACTCGCGTGCAGACGTTGGCGCTCCCTTGAGCCTTGGCGGGGCAAGCTGGGCTCGGAAGAAAGGACCTGCCAGGCACAGGAAGCGAGGAGAGAGGAGAGAGAGAGAGAGTGAGTGCGCGGCAGCAGGGAGTGATCCATGCAAAATGGGAAAGGAAGTCTGAAAGCGGTGCATGTGCATGTGATGCCCACCACAGCACCACTCGAGCCAGTACCAACGAAAACACCTGAACCTGAACCTGAACCTGAACCTGAACCTGAACCTGAACCTGGGGGAAGGCTCTTATAGTGTGTGGTGGGCGGGGTGATACTGCAACCTCAACCCTCCATGAGTGCTGGCGATGGCCCGCCCTCTGCTGCCCGCCCTCTAGCTGCCCGCCTTGGTTCTCCTTCTCCTTCACCTTGGTTCGACTGGCGTCCCTCCACTTAGACCTGGGAGCCATCGCGGGGAGGGAGGGCAGAGCGGGGAGGGAGGGGAGGGAGGGGAGGGAGGGAAGGGAGGGGAGGGGAATGAGCGGCAAAGATAAAGAACACGAATCGAATTGAAAAGAACGTTTCAAAGCTGTGCGAGTGCAGAATGGAGGGTGCACAATGGATGGTGCATGTGCATGCGATGCCGACCACAGCACCACTCAAGCCAGTATCAAAGAAAAAAACCTGAACCTGAACCTGGGGGGAAGGCGCTTGTGGTGTGTGGAGGCGGGGGTGATACTGCAACCTCACCAACCATGAGCGACGGTGCTGCTCCCCTGCCGCCCGCCCTCTTGCTTCCCGCCTTGGCGCTCTTCTCCCTTGGTGCTCGTTGGCCGCCCTTCCACTCAGCATGCGCAGGCCTGGAAGGGAGGGGGGGCACGGCGGACAAAGAGGAGAGAGCGGGGAGGGCGTGGAGGAATGAGTTGGAGTGATCCATGCAAAAGGGAAAGAACGATGGGAAAACACGTTTGAAAGCTGTGCGAGTGCAGAATGGAGGGTGCAGAATGGAGGGTGCAGAATGGAGGGTGCAGAATGGATGGTGCAGAATGGATGGTGCAGAATGGAGGGTGCAGAATGGATGGTGCAGAATGGATGGTGCATGTGCATGTGCTGCCAGCCACAGCACCACTCGAGCCAGTACCAAAGAAAAGAAAATACCTGAACCTGAACCTGGGGGGAAGGCTCTTGTGGTGTGTGGAGGCGTGGGGTGATACTGCAACCTCACCAACCATGAGCGATGGTGCTGCTCCCCTGCCGCCCTCTTGCTGCCCGCCTGGGTGGATGCTCGGTTGCTGCGGTTCCGCTACGCATGAGCAGGCCTGGAAGGAAGGGGGGTGAGGGAGGGAGGGGTGGGAGAACGGGGGCAGAGGGGGGAGGGAGGGGAGGAGTGAGTTGAATGCCAGCAACCGAGGGGGGAGTGTGGCACAGCGAGTGAAAGAGCGAAATCGAAATAGCGAGTCAAGTCGAAGGGGGTTCGATGTGTGCATGAATGATGGCGTGGGAGCATGATGGTGCAGGGGGGGGGAGGGGGGGGGGAGAGGAGGGAGGGGGGGGGTTGCTTGTCAGTGGCGCATCCAGCAGAGGCGAGGAGGGGGTGGCTGATTGATTCAACGAGGAATCTGTTGATTTAGGGAGACGACTCAGGACCCTACAACAGAGGACACCCCACTGGACCATAGCAAGGGACCCTGCACCTAGACAAAGGCCGTTTTGACTGAGGGTTTCGGGAATTTAGGGCTGCTCCTGCTCTCTGCTGGACAGGCCACTGACATGCGGCGGAGTGATGAAAGCAATGACGGGGTGAAGCGAATGTGGATTGAAGCGAATGTGGATTGAAGCGAATGTGGATTGAAGCGAATGTGGATTGAAGCGAATGGGGGTGGTCAAGAGAGGGGAAGAGGACTTACTTTTTCTGTGGTGCGAATGCGTGATGGCGAATCTTCAGGCGAGATGGCGAATGCTTGATGGCGAGCAGGTGGCAAATGGTTGACGAAGAACACTCGTGATGGTTACCTGCAAGAAGAGAAACGAGTGGAATCAGTTCAAAGGGCGAGAAAACGAGCCGAGGGAAAGCACTGCGGAAACGAAATCGGACATTCGTGCGAGCGCACCTGCGAGGCTGAAATTGCTGGCTTTCTGAATCGTTTCTCCTGACGGAGGAATTCACTGCTGACGGTGGAAATCGCTTCTGCTGACGGAAGAAATCGTTGCTGACGGTGAAATCGTCATGCGTGATAATCTGCATGAACACGCGTCGTGGTGATCTGCAAGAAGAGAAACGAATCGAATCAGTTCAAAGGGCGAGAATCGAACTGAGGAAAAGGCGGAAACGAAGTCGGGTGATATCGGCGGAAATTGAAATCGAACGTACCTGCGAGGTTGAAATCGCTGGCTTCCAGAGTCGTTTCTCCTGGCCAAAATCGGTGCTGATGGCGAAAATCGTTACTGTTAATGGCAGAGCGTTGATGGCGGCTCTTTGTGCTCGCAGAACAGATGGCGAGACTTCGGCTGACGGCGGAAAGCGTTGTTGCAGATTATGGCTTGGCGTTGACGGCGGAGATGCATGTCTCTCACGGGAGCACGGCCCGTGGCGTTGCCTGCAAGGAGAGAAACACAACGCGTCAAACATCGGACGATTAATGTCAAACATAGCACGGAAATCGGACGGTCCAAGGCGAAACGTACTGGCGACGGCGAGGCGACACTCGCCACCGTGAATGATGACGAAAACTGTAGTTCGCCGTGGAAATTGCCGGCGACGGCGGAAATTGACGGCGGAAATCGCAGCTGCTGACGGCCAACTTCGTTGCTGACAGCGAAAATAGTTGCTGCTGATGGCGAAATCGTTGCTCACGACGGAAATTGCTGTTAACGACGGAAATTGCTGCTACCAACGACAAGATTTGTTGCTGACGGAGGACATCGCGGCTAGCGACGGAAATCGCTGCTTTGATTAGTAAACGCTAAGAAAGGCTTCCGGCCAACTGCGGCTGAACCAAAGCAGCAAAACGGAGTTCGTGGAGGCGAAAATGGGAGAGAGACGAGGGTGGTGAGGAAGAAAAGGAGAACCGAGTCTGCGAGGATGAGGATGAGTGCAAATGTGCTGCTGAGTTTGCCAGGATGAGGGCGCCATCAACTCGGAAATAGTGAAAAGCCGCTAAAAAAGTGGAGCAGAGGCGATGAAATTGGCATGGGCTGGGATGTGGTTTTGCTGGTTGATTTGAGAAGGTTCAATATGGTTGATATCGGTTGGAAAGGGTGAGAAACGGCTGGGCTAACTTATGGGTCTGGGTTGTCTCGGTTGCTGCTGGTGAACTGCAGAGAGGGTTCAGCACAGCCCAGAGGAATCCCAGCCAATCGCGAGGTTGGCTTAGCGGCGGTGGGGGAAGCTCCGCCGACAAGATTGGCGCATCACGCTTTCCCAGGCGCGCGCTGTTTTCGCCCACGGGCGGAACCACAATCACCTCGCGAAGTTCACGAAAGACTCTCGTGTAGCAACAGGTGTTGACGACCACAGCCGGGGAAACAGCAGACAATTGCGAAACTCGTGACTTTCGTCAACCCCAATGACTGCAACGGTTGGGGCGGGGAATCCGCGGGCTGGCGGTCGCGCTCCCACAAATGGCCTGACATCCCTGCGAGTGCGCAGACATTGGAGGTTTGGCGGAGCGCTCTCCCAAAGTTCCGGCTGGCTGCTTCTCCAACGGGTAGCCTGAAAGCTCCGAGATTATGGGGGGGTTGCGGGAACAAACCTGACACTGCCAACAGCATGCAGCTCAATATGGTGATCCAACGGCCAGAATGCCTTCGTGCAGAATTGAATTGGTTTGCGCCAGGTCGTGTATGTATACTGTACAGCGTTTCTGCATCTTCGGTACCATCACACTGCATTCCTCTATCGCTTGGTAAGGATGTAGCATATTTCAAGGGGGTTAGGATTAAGATGGTATTTTTTGTCAAGTCATGCTCTATCTAAGACAATATTTGAGTCAGCATACGCAAAAGCAGATCGATGTGTTATACTAAAGTCTCGACACAGCGAATCATCTAGCCACACTGCATTTATTGTCATCAGGGCCTCATATTGGTTTGATAGTGGCTGATTGCTCACGGTTGTCCACGTGGGAACCATACTTTTCAGGGTCGGGTTTTGGGCGTGGCATGTTTTGTCAAGCCTTTTTTTTTCAAAGTCTGACTTATCAGGCCTACATATTTTTTTGTTCTGATTCTTAGGGCAAATCGGACTTCAGTGTGTACAATTCGCTTCGGACTACCCTACCTGTGATTTTAGCAAAGGACCAGTCACCCCCCTCACACATGTGTCACCAGTCACCCATGCAGTACCTGCGGCGGCGGCGGCGGCGGCGGCGTCGAGGCACCTGGCGACGGCGGCTGCGGCACCCAAGGCAACGGCGGCGCGCTCAACTTGCGACGACGAGGGGGAGGACGACACGAGGTCGCCAACAGCTGCGGCAGAGAGGAAGGGAAAGGCAGATGAAGGGAAGGGGGGAAGGGGTGGGGAGCGGATCGTCAGCGCGGCGCCATGGCTGGCCTAGCGCATACTCGCATGCAGGCGGGCTGGATGCGGCTAACACAGTGCGCAGCCCGCTGCCACTCGTACGCTGGTGCATCAACGCCACCGCGACAGCACGACGACGCCTCCACGGCTGAACGTCAACGCCACGACAACGCGACGAGGCTGCCATGGCAGAAGCGTCGAGACCGCCGCGGCAGCACGACGACG